TGATTCACAAGTTCGAAAACTGGTTTATTCATCTCTAAAGGATTATATTATACTTAGCTTGTATTATTATTAGCTTATAGTATACATAAACGTTAAGGTATCATTTTTAAGATATAAGTTATTATATAATATTATATTACTTATAATTTTATATTAGTTTTTAATAGTCTTACTTATTTATTCTAAATATGGGATATTATAGTTAATTTTATTTAAATCTTTTCAACTCCTTCCTTCCTTCGATTGGAGATCACATTAACTTATATAGGTTTATATTTATTATTACATCATATGTTTATATATAATGTCATAATAGTAATTATCTTATAAAATGGGTATAACTATTTACCCTTATTACATGTTCTTTTATATATTTGAAATGATATAGTACATTAACCCCTCCGGGGTGTATATCCCGGCAGCGAAGCTGCCGAAAGCTTGTCAGATTTGGACTCGATGCAGTCACGGGCTTTCAATACAGAACCCTGCAAGTCTTCAAGAGACCTGACTACCTCGGGGAGCAGCGCCACTGTGTTTAAAACCACAACGCCGGCCGCTAGTTTCTGAGGAACTATATTCTATGGCACTTGTTTTTGAAACACCAACCTAAAGTAATTCTTAATTTCCAAAATGGTGGTGTTTGAAGTGCTAATTTTTGAAGCGCTAATTTATGAAGCGTTATCACCGAGTGACGTGTTCCAGATCCGGTCCCAGGCCTGTATGTATTGCTCGGGCCTCCAAAAAACAAATAAATTATTAGAAACAAGTAAATAATCAAGGAGACAAAATAATCAAAGAAACAAATAAATGATCAGAGAAAAAAAATAGCCTAAAAACCAAAGACATCACCCAAGAAATAAAGAAATCACCGAAGAATCAAAGAAATCACCGAAGAAACAATTAAATCACCCAAGAAACAAAGAAATACCCCAAGAAACAAAGAAATAATCGAACAAACAAAATAATCAAAGAAACAAATAATTAATCAAAATAACCCTAGAAAAGAAACAAAGCAGTCACCCAAAAAACAAATGAATAACCAAACAATCAAAGAAATCACCAAGCAACCGCCTGGATCGCTACACCAAACAACACCAGCAAACACCCCAGGACGCCCATTAAACGCTGTCACGTGGAAATGCCGGAGTAGCAACTCTGTATGCATGATTCCACCAACGAACGTCGGACACGATAAAGGTTTTTCCCTCGGAAGATATGGTCCGAATTCCTTCTTCTTTAGGGAGTCTGGATCATAGTAGTGACCAGAACCCTAAGTACTGAATATACTTGAATAAGTACTAAATATACTTGAATAAATATTGATTATACGAAATCATCATTGAAAGAAGCGCACCCGCCGCCTGCCAGAAGGCCGCCGCAGAAAACCATCGCCCGGCCCGGCAGATCCTGCCCCGCACGTTTTTGCCCACGCGCCTCCAGAACTCGCCCCACGTCCCCAACATCTCCCCGACATCTCCCCAACACCTCCACAGCACACCCCACCATTTCCCGCCCACGACCGGAAAAAATATAAAAGAGCACGGCCGTCGCGTCCCCGGCCGCCCTGCCGCCCGAAAACGCCCGCTCCCCGTTTTTCCCCGAAATCCCCGGAAAAAAAAGCGCCCCCGAACTTTTCAAAGCGTCCGCCCTAATCACCCTGGCCCCAGGCCCGGCCCAGCGCCCGGCGCGCGCTCCGGCGCCGCGAACTTTGGACCTAAGGCGCCAGACCCACGCCTCTGGCCCTCTACTCCTCTTGCCAGGAGACCCTGAAAGTCACAGCAACACGCCAAACCCCGGCGGCAACACGCACAAAAACACCCGCCCGCCCCTCCGCCTGCCCGCCGCCTGCGTTTTTGTCCCCAAACCCCGTGTTTGTGCCCCAAAACCTCGTGTTTGTGCCCCCAAACCCCGTGTTTGTGCGCCCGTTTCCCGCATGGCCAACCTCTACCAGACGTTGTTCTCGCCAACGCCCGCCCGCCCGCCCGACGCCGGCGCCGACACCAACACCGACACCGACAGCGTGTGGCGGGCGCTGCCGCCACCCGCCGCCCGCGCCAAGCCCGCCCGCCGCAGCCGCTCGGTGTCCGTGCCACGCTTTTTCTTCCGTGCCCTGACCAGCCAAACAGACCCCCCGCCCGCCGTGCCGCCGCCCGACAAAACGCCGCCCTCGCCGGGCTTCGCGCTGGCCGGCTTGCACCGGTTGCGGGCGCTTTTCCGCTTTTCGGCGCCGGTGGACGCCGCCACAGACACGCGGCTGGCGCCAGGTGCGGCGTCGCCCGAGCCGTTCCCGTCGTCCGTTTTCCGGCCGCGCACCTACGACGGCGAGGACATCACGCTGGGCCTGATGGCCGCGGCCGGCAACGCGCAGAGCGCGCAGAACGCGCTCCGCCGCTTGGACTCAGAACTCTCGGGGCCGTCCCGACGAGGCCACCGCAGCGCGGACGGCCCGTCGCCTGGACTCGCGCGCGGGCCGTACCCTGCTACCATGCAGCCACCCCAACAGCCCGCGTCGCCGCTCCGCAAGACGCTCCGGCGCGTGGCGCTGGCGCCGTTGGTGCGGCTCCTCGGGGACCGGTCGCCGTGCGCGGAGCCGCCCAAGGAGTTCGACCTCAACGACCACATTGGCGAGCTCAACCTCGCGCAGGGCCGGCCCCGCACGTACACGCAGGGCCGGACGTACCTGCAGCTGGCGCCAAGGTCATGGACGTGCAGGTGGACGCGGGCAGCTTCGAGACGATCCGCTTGTTGGGCAAGGGCGACGTGGGCAAGGTGTTCCTCGTGCGCGAGAAGGCCAGCTCGCGGCTCTACGCCATGAAGGTGCTCAACAAGAAGGAGATGATCCAGCGCGACAAGATCAAGCGCGCGTTGGCCGAGCAGGAGATCCTCGCCACCAGCAGCCACCCGTTCATCGTGACCTTGTACCACTCGTTCCAGCTGGAGGACTCGTTGTTCCTCTGCATGGAGTATTGCATGGGCGGCGAGTTCTTCCGGGCGCTCCAGACGCGCGACACCAAGACCATCGCCGAGGACGCCGCGCGCTTCTACGCGGCCGAGGTCACCGCGGCGCTCGAGTACTTGCACTTGCTGGGCTTCATCTACCGCGACTTGAAGCCAGAGAACATCTTGCTCCACCAGCTGGGGCACATCATGTTGAGCGACTTCGACTTGTCCAAGCAGTCCGCCTGCATCAAGAGCCCGGAGATCCAGTTCACCAAGGCCCACAGCTCCGCCAGCCCGGCCATCGACACCAAGGCTTGCATCGACGGCTTCCGCACAAACTCGTTCGTCGGCACCGAGGAGTACATCGCGCCTGAGGTCATTCGCGGGAAGGGCCACACCAGCGCCGTCGACTGGTGGACCTTGGGCATCTTCATGTACGAGATGCTCTACGGCACCACTCCCTTCAAGGGCAAGGACCGCAAGACCACCTTCGGCAATGTCTTGAAGCGCGACGTGCGCTTCCCGGACTCGAAGCCCGTGTCCTCCAGCTGCAGGAGCCTCATCAAAAAGCTCCTCATTAAGGACGAGACAAAGCGCTTGGGCTCCAAGTTGGGGGCCTCCGACATCAAGACACACCCGTTCTTCAAGGCCACCCAGTGGGCTTTGCTTCGCCACCAGAAACCACCCATGATCCCTGTGCTCACCAAAACAAAGAAGCCTGAGCGCACCGCGGATCGCCCGCCGAGCCAAGAGGAGCCGGCTTCTCTCCCGAAGGCAGACGCGAAGGACGATCCGTTCGCTATGTTCAGCTCCGTGACCTTGCGTCACGACGACGAAGATACAGAGGACGCCCATATCGTGGAGAACGATACCACGCTCTACTCAAGCGTGGCATACACCATGACTAGCCACCCAGAAAGCTCTCTGAAGCGCTCCAAGGGCTTTCTTCGAAGATGATATGTGTGTGAATATGCATGAGACTACCGTCCGACACTATACTGGCGCCCATTGCTTGGCGATCCTTCAACCCCGACATTGCATCAAAATTAGCCACCACCTGTTGCCCTTGGCGAGTTCGTGAATTCATAACACATAGCCAAGCGAAGGTTTACCTCATAGACTCTTCCGACTACGTTTTGCCGTCAATGGGCAGCATTTAGATGGCAAACTACGCTCCTTTCCAGGCGGACATCTTGAGAACAAGAAAATAGCCCTCTGGAATATTCGATTTCCGCTTCCAGATGGTAAACTCAGACATCCACATGTTTGATGTCGGAAGACAGAGACATGGGCGGAAAAATTGGATTCACTGCTTCGATATTGCAACCTTGCTCGTACTCTGTGTTTCCCTTTCGGAGTACGACCAGGTTCAGCCCAAAGAAAGTTCTCAAATCCGGCTTGGGGAGTCGCTCACTTTGTTTGACAAGGTAGTGAACCCTCGTTGGTTTTCTAGAACTCCTGTGAGCAGAAGCTTGGTACAAACATTTCTATGAGATAAAGCGAATGATAGACGTCTCGGGCGAATTTGCCTTAGCGCATTCTCAAATTTAAAATATATAAGAAGCCTTTTTTCTAATAAAGGAAGATATGGATGTACAGCCTTTAGTGGGCCATTTTGAAAAATCGATGTTCTTGTGGGCAAGCTATCCAATCGCCACTCAAGAACCACTTTCTAAATTGCAATATGCTTTTGTATTACTGCTTGGTGTTGCTTGTTTCCTGACAGGGCAGGCTCTACGCCAGTAGTTAAAGATTGTGTGGCACCTTCATGACGTACGAAAAGATTGCTTAGTGACTACAAAGATTTTGAAAAAAATTCAATCGTTTCGCATATACAATATTCTATTTGAAGGGGGTGTCTAACAAGAGACAAAGTTTATGACCTCAAGATGGACAGGGCTACACTGGGCAGCGACGTTCTCGTCGTACAAGTTGGAGAAGTCACCAGAGACGCACAGGTAGAAAACATCGCTGTCACCAAGAGCCAAGTAGTGGTCCTCCGTGACCGACCAGCCAGCAGCATAAATAGTGCCGGCTTGTGGTGGTGGGCCGTCAAATTGGAACTGTCTGTTGGCAACAATGGCGCCGATCCTGCCGTTGGAGTCCTTCAACTCACCGTTTTGCAAGACCATCATCAAAGAGTTGGAGGTGCTGCATGAAACAGAAAATCCGTCGGTCTCTTCTTTGAACACGGAGTCGGTGGCTTGCACCTGGCCATCAGAAATCTGCGATGCAACAGCGGCAGTGTTAGTGGAAGTAGAAGCAGAAGTGGTTTGGTCCTGGATCTGGCCATCGGAGATCTGGTTGATCACAGAGGCAGTGGTTTTCATCGAGGATGAGGAAGATGTCGTGCTGGTGGTGGTCTGGTCCTGAATTTGACCATCGCTGATTTGGTTAATCACAGACGCCGTCGTTATCTTCGACGAGGAAGTGGAAGTCGAGGAAGTGGTTGTGGTTTGCGCCTGGATCTGACCATCGCTGATTTGGTTAATCACAGAGGCGGTGGTGATGGTCGGCGTGCTCAAAGTCTCCGAAGACTGGTTTTGGATTTGGCCGTCGCCGATTTGGTTGATGACTCCTCTTTTGGCAACAGCAGCAGTGGAAGAAGAAGCAGCTTCGGAAGAAGCCGTCGTGATGGAAACAACTTGGATTCCAAACGAGTGAAAGTGGTCAGTAGTGGCGCCTGGGTAGGTAGCCGAAGGCGTCAATGTCGTCCATGGCTCGGAGGGCAAGTATGCAGCTTGAGCGAGTGCAATGGCACTTAAAATAGCAAGAGAAAATTGCATTGTGATGTGAGTGTTTTGATAGGAAGGCAACGATTTGCGGCGTGTGTCTTGACAAAAGTATGGGAAAGCTAAGGCTTAAGAGTGAAGAATCCTTGAGTAGAGAAAGAGACGATGCAGATATATAATGAAAGAAAAACTGAAGTAGGGGGATATTCTTTCTGGTATTTATAGCATTTGCCATCGTAGAGATGGCTTGCTGGGGAGTGCCAGATCACTCTGCCCCTTGCATGTCAGTGCTAGTACTCGCATGCCGCTGGGCTATGATCCATGCTTGTCATTTGACTAAAACGGATAAATGGCTGGCTTCCTGCACAAACATGCCTGTATAATGTCAAATTCTGCATAAACATGATCTGCTAATTTTAGCACCGTCAATAAACAGTTGGCTGGAGCCTTTCTTTCGCGGGGATTTCATGTTTGTATGCATGCCTTGGTCATGATTCGTAGCGCTGGTTCCTGGTATACATTGCCCTCTAACAACATTCCTGTTGTTATCTATGATCATTTGAAATTATATGTCACCAGCCAATTCAGAGACGCGTCCAGATAAACAGTCAGCTGGCCGTCAGTACAAGGCAAAGTTTTTCAAGTGCAACTAGCTTTGCCGGTCGCACGCCTGGACTCAGCCTGTCAAGCATTTTTTTCCCTCAACGATCACATATTCGTTCGTGAGCTTCCAGACCCTAATTTATTTGCGCAACCCAAAGAGTTGGTATTTTTTGCTTTTCATAATTTCTTTTTCTTCACAAAAGATACTTAGCCATTCAACTTGTGGCTTTTACTATTATACACTTTCTGATATCCGTTGGGTTTTTGGATTGGATCTGCTTTTTTCATTCATCCTTCTCTCCCGACCTTGATGGCCGAGTTTCTCTCAGAACGGAATAGTAATTAACCAGACGCTTGTTTGTGTATGTGGCAGATTCTGTACGCTGGGCTAAACATGCACGTAATCACAGAGCCCAATGCGGGCCGCCGGTCACGTGTTACCGGCCGGGCGCAGTAAATGATCTTGCGAGCACCCGTCTGTTTTTTCGTGGGATTTTCTGTATAGAGCCAACAAGTAGTAGAGCAAAAAAAAAATTCTGTTAGAGTTTACAGGCAGAAACACATGCACTTCGGTCACACATACCTTCCCCTATTTCTATCCCGTTGCCCTGATGTGAATTCCGCAAATCTCGAACGACTCCTTCCGCACGCATTTGCGAAAACGTGATCGCAAGCCTTGTATGTAAATAGGGTTGTCCGGAATTAACCTCCCGAACGGTTAGGAAACCACAACCGACATGCTTTATATTTACCTTTGGGCCTGTTTGTAACCGGCTTTTGTCAGCGAATGGAAAGCGGTTATTTCACCCGTAATATCAGCCTAGGTTGCCGGGCCGGAAGCTACATCCGAAATCTCTTCATTCATGAAAAATATATGCACACACATAATCCCGAAAGACTGGCCATTTGTCTTAAGCCATGAAGTAGGCTGAGGCAGGCACGCGCGGTAAGGCGAATCATACGAGATTCCTGACTGCAAATTTTGATGGTGGTCGGTCTCTCATTGGGTCAGCTGGATAGTAACACGAGGCCACCAACGGCTCAGTCAGGTGCTATAGCGTTATTGCCAAATTCAGTCATCTTTGGAATTTCGTGGAATAGAAGATTTTTTCGGCCGTTCCAAAGAATTGTTTCAAGTAGATTTATGAGTAACACGTTAAACCTCATTCAGAGGGAAATATAGACGGGGTTTGCGCTCCCAATACAAGTTGAATAGCCCAACATGACAACCGAATTTTAAAGCACATCAAGCCTGGCTTCTCATGAAGTTTATTTGAATAAAGACTTTTACTTTTCAATTGAAAAGAAAGCTCGTGCTTCTTGAGTTTCTGGAAGTCTTTGATCAAGTCGCTGTTCATGTTCATGTCTGTCCTCTTGTCTTTAGATCGGAATTCGGCCAAAAGAACCAATATCAAGACATTAACAATACTAAAACATGCCTCCAGGCAACTGCAAAACTTGTATAGCAAGGATTCGGATCAAATGGACTAAGTTATCCACATAGCAACTAACCAAATAGGTTACATTGGCCCTGGTTTTCTTTATTCCACCAGCACAGTTGCATTCAGTCGATGACAACAAACATTGAGGATATGGCCAAGAAAGAAGTCGTGGAATGACCTGTAAATTGTCTGGTTGTCCAGAAATACAAGAATTCACGTGGCCATCGCTGAGATGAAAGAACTTAAAATCCTACAAAAACTACCAGTAGTATTAGTAAATCGCAACAAATGCACCAATTTCTAAGTGCATATCCATCAACAAAATCTCGCCTGTTGAGTAGCCCTTCCCATGCAACAAAGTTTAGCCGAGTTTCATCAGCCCTCTATTGGTAAAGTCACATAAGGCGTCCCTGGTATGAAAAAGCCGGGCCCCATCATTCGCCAATGTCTCGATGTACTGTTACTTTTTGGTGTTTTTGTTACCAAAGCTCAGCTGTTTGTTTCTTTTTTTCTCTATGGATACCACTGCCACGCATCTGTCAGCTTACAGGGCATGAGAAGAAAAACATTAACATTCAAGGTATGGAAGTCAACTTTCATGGACCTAAACTATAGTTCTCCTTGTTTTTGCACCTGTAATATGCTATGGCATCAGACTGGAAAATAGTTGTATCACCATTGCGAACAAACAGATAGTTATGCCCCAAAGAACCCTATAAATCGACAACGTTCCCGAGAGCTTGTTTATTTGGGGTGTAAGAGCCAACGAGTTTGTAAAAGATAATTTCTCAACTGCCGGACCCGCCCACGAATACTGATAACTGACCGATGTCAAGTCAGTCCATACCCCAAATATGGCATTGTATAATTTTGTCCACTTATCTATGAACTGAACACAATGCATTGAGCGAACCAAGGGCAAAGGTACAGAAAAAAGTTTTTGAAGCAACTTCTTGTTTTCCTCGAGATTCAAAGCGAAAGGCTCATCCTTAAAACCAAGAACACAGCCACTTTGTCTGCATCACCTGTCATAAATACGAAATTGTCTTATTCGGGTGGTGTAGATTCCCTCATCATAATTTTCTCCGTCGTATGTACGCTGGCGTATTTTTTCTTCTATGTTCATTTGTTGTCACTGTATGACTGTCTACTAGGATGTAGTAATAAATAATAGTGTTGAGTCTCCGTTTCCGTATAAGTCGTAATTACTCAGGATGTCTGAATCATTACACTAGACTCATATACATAAAAATATATTTATTCCACCCCATGGAAAACAGGTCTAAAGTTTCATAGGATCCCTTTGTGCGGTACTAAAATGCGTTGCTTTTCACATAAGTCGAAATAAAAAGCTTCAGTCTTTGTTAAAGTTTGGGCTTTTCTAGCTGTTTCTTTTTTGTTTTGTATCATATACCCACATGGTATAATGCTTGAATTGCCTCTCAACCACCAAGCGCCGCGGCTTATGCACTCTTGTTCACGGAGACATCTTGTCATGTCCGGTCGTGCGTCGTGACTCTGCATACGCGTGATTATGTATCGAAGATTTTAATCCACCGGGATTCATAGACTAAGAAATTCTTGTAAGGTGATTCGTACATTTCTACGCTAGCAATGGCAAGAACTTACTTGGGCATGTCCCTCTTTTGGCACAGAGAAATTTATAGGTTAGAATACTGGTTTACTTCACGTTGTGGAATTTGAGACATCAACTATCCCAACACATGCTTTCAGAAGCGGTGCTTGTGCATCCAACGAACCAAAACCATTAAAGGGTCGAATTGGTCTGTCTAAGAAAGTATAGACTTCAAAGAGTACTTGGCTTCCGAATGAAGTAACATGCACTTGCATGGCCTCTGTATAGATTAAGTAGCTATGTTGCAAAGTCACACCATTGCAACAATCACCTTGATTCAATTTTAAAAGTATTGAATTTCGCCAGCATTTTTTTGAAAACAATTTATGATAATATCCTTCCATCCTTTCGCTGTCTGGCCAGATATAAGAGAATGTGTATTCAATATGAACATAGTCAAGTGTCACGTGACTCCACGATAGCGCATTTCCCGCATCCGGTATGTGTAGAAATTCGAAGAGATTCTATTCCGTTTTTAAACAAGTCGGCACCACTGAAAACCTGCCCGTTCCAATTTGAACGCATGTGAAAAAGGCCTTTGAATTCTCCAAATATTGTCTGAGTGCGAGGCGATGTTTTTAATGGCATTGAAGGCATTTCGGGAGCTCACAGTGCATCATGAAATGGAGCCAGAGGATATTCGGAGGTTTGACCGTGAATTCCCAGAATACCACGCCCAAAGGCCTTAGCTGCAAACTACCCCCAAATACCCGCTGATTATAATCAGCCCACTTCAAGCTGTCACTCTTATACAGAGGAATGAGAAAGAAACATCGGCAACCACCAACCGAACAAAAAGTAAAATAAGATGGAAAAAACACGTATTTCAGCAGCGAGTGCTACTTGAACAATTTTGACAGACAATGCCGCTCTTTAATGCCGGTAAGTGGTGGGCCCACCAGAGAAAGCCAGATCACATGCCTTGCTCATGATTGCTCTGGAGTTCCGGGATGGTGGATAAACACCGCCGCCGTGTTTGTGTGCAGGCTTGCAACCCAGCAATCCTGCAGTTTTGCAACTTCACAACGCCCAGCTTAGTAATGGTGCTCAAGTATAAAACAGGCATGCCTGGGACATGAACGCCAACTAAATCCGAAGAATCCAGCATCCACACATGATGACACAACTCGAACTCCCAAAAGCAAAAGAGGGCACCGACGCCCCATACAAACTCGCGGCCGGTCTCCCATATGAGTACCCATTGCCTGAAGGTGTGGTTGGATCAGCCGTGGACTTGAACGAGAAAACACCCAAGATTTTCCAGCCCTTGATAATCAGAGGCATGGTCTTGCCCAACAGGGTGGGCGTGTCGCCTTTGTGCCAATACACAGGCGTGAACGACATTCCTACGGACTACCACAAGATCCACTACGGGGCCTTTGCTTTGAGAGGCCCTGGTTTGGTAATGGTCGAGGCCACAACCGTTACCCCTCACGCAGGAGTGTCGCCTGTGGATGTGGGGCTTTACAACGACGAGCAGGAGGCCAAGTTCAAGGAGATTGTCGACTTTGCCCATGCCAACACGTCGCGGATCGGAATCCAGCTTGCCCACGCAGGACGCAAGGCGTTGGGGGCTCCTCCTTTTGTGAGCTTGGAGGACTGGGATCCTAGGGGCGACAAGGACAAGGTGGTGGCTCCCTCTGCCGTGCCTTTTAGAGAGGGGGGCCGGTACCCTGTGCCTAGAGCGTTGACCGTGGAAGAGATCCGTGAGATCGTCAAGAAGTTCGGCGAGTCTGCCAAGAGAGCCGTTGCCGCCGGGTTTGACTTTGTGGAAATCCACGGCGCACACGGCTACTTGATCAACGAGTTCATGTCTGCGCACTCGAACAAGAGAACCGACCAGTACGGCGGGTCTTTTGAAAACAGAATCCGTCTTTTGGTGGAGGTCATTGACTGCGTGAGGGCCAGTGTTCCTGAGGACTACCCCGTGTTTTTGAGATGGAGTGGCTCTGAGTTGCACGACTCCAACCCAGACGCTTGGACTCTTGAGGACTCGGTGAAGTTGGCGCCCATTGTCGTGGAGCACGGCGTGGACCTCCTTGACATTTCGGGAGGAGGAAACGATGCCAATGCCGATAGATGGCCCAAGCATTTCGGCATGTTTATGAATGTGTCGGAGGCGGTCAAAAAAGCAGTGGGCGACAAGGCCATTGTGGCTGCCGTGGGCCGCATGCACGACCCTGTCAAGGTCAACGAGCTCCTCGAAAAGGGCACCATTGACTTTGCCTTTGTGGGCTCTCCTTTCATGGTGAACCAGGGCTTGGTGTTTGACTGGGCCGAGACTTTGGATGTCCAACTCCACCACGCGCCTTCGCTCTGGCCGGTCAGACCTAAGTATGCTGAGATGATCCAGTATGTGACGGAGGTGAATGAAAAGAATGCTCAGAAGGAGAAAAAATGATTGGGTGGGATATTTCCGGAAGTGGCTGGAGGACTGGGTCCTGTGCCTGTTGGAGTAAGTGAATGCAGCAAAGATTGCATTGAACACACGGCTCTTGAACGCCACTTTCAATTTTTCATATAGACTGAAGAATCAAAGAAAACCACAAGAAGAATACACGCTGTGCACTTTTTATGAAGTGAAATGACTATCTGTCAATGCTGATTTGCTTGCAATTGAGTACTTATAGTTTGGCTTGAACCATCGAGACTAAATTCACTTCACAAGTCTCGTAGCATGTGTCCTCGTACACCACATGGCACATTTCATCACTTGGGTTCTCCATCATTAGATAGGCACTCACCATGTGATTAAAGATATTTGAGCTCAGACAATGCAGAGATTCGAAAAATTGTGTTGGAGCTCGATATGGAATTGGAATACGTCATACACTGTTCTCTTTAAAGCTTTTATCCTGAGAGGACTGGTGTGATACGAACAGAAAAGCTCAGAAACTTTGATAAAAAATCAAGTCGAGAGACAATTAGAGTTCTCTGAGCCTTTAAATATATGTGACGCGCATCAAATATAACATGGAATACTCGTGGACGACTTTCATATCTTTCAACACCCCGACTCCTCCACGCCTCGATTTTCGAACAATGTTAAAGATTTGAATTACCGGAAATGTCTTTTGAGGCCAAAAAATGGACAGACTTGTTTCCAATAAGAAAGGCATACGTGATGAAAGAGGGTTCTTTCTGCGGTGTTTTCATTCTCTAAACGATATTTAAATTATATCGATCAAACAAAGGTACAGTCTTGCTTGAAGACACGTAGTATGTGGAACAGGCAAAAAATGGACTGTTGATCACAGAACATTTTCAAAAGTCATGTTCATTATTATAATGGGATATGTATGCATTCATACTCTGAACAACGTAATTTAATTCCTCAACGCATAGAATACAATTTGGATTAATTGTACCAAGTAAGGCCGGTGTTCACAAACACGGCTCTATTGGCCTTAAAAAAGACTTTTTTTTTATAACTGTATCGAAATCTTATGCAGCAACGAGTTTTGTGAACTAATTGCAATCTTTTTTTGCGACATGCTCCGAAATAGCCCGCAATGTCCATTTGCTCTTTGTTAATTTTGATACTCAAACAAACTATATCAAATTCGCTCCCCGGGAACCAAATTTTAAACCACGGATGGTGCGAATAAATTGAATGAAGTTTGCAAAGCATTGACATACTCGAATTATGAAGCCACTTTTTCGATATGTTGATCGCACTAGAACCCAAACATGCAACAAAATGTTTTCCTGCCAAAAACAGAGTCTCGATAAAACAAAATCTGTTTGAGGATGATGCTTTGAGCCAGACTGTTAGGCGTATTTCGAATCTCATAAAGTTGAGTAGAAAATGCATGTCCTTGTCTAAAGCGCACTTCTTGCCAAAGTCTTCAAAACCATACTTTACGACCCTCTTGAATCTTCGCGGTTCTATTCCTTAAACCCTATGGTGCCACTTTTAATATCTGCCATTGCAGAATCCTCTTATACTATATAAGGACTACTTTCCCAATCCAAGCGTAGAATCTTTTGAACCACATTGCTTCTTTTCAAAATTACGTCTATGGGTTATAGAAGACGAATCCGTTTCACAAAACGTCCACCTGTTTTGCGCCCTCCTGAGAGGCAAGATAATTATTCTGAACAACTTGATCATTTTGCAGATGGACATACCTTCAAGCAAGAAATGAACCCTGGGTACACAGTTGATAACAGACCACAAAAGAATCCTGAATTTGTCAAGACAAAGAAATCAGTTGTCAAACGGAAGTTCACTATTGAACATTATAATTGTCATGACGGATCTTCTGAAAAAATGCTGGACGAAGTTACTCTCGTCTTGGCGCACCCCAATTTGCATTCTCTGAGTCAAACCCCGGTATCCAAATTCCCCATTTCAGACGATAAATCTGATTCCATACCCAACACGCGTGCGAAGCCATCGAAGCAAAAGATGAAGTCCACTAAAGTAAAAAGAAGCTCACGAAGTAGGCTCTTTGGAAAATTCAAACACAATTCTCCAATAAAATTCCCCAAAAGCCTTCGGCCCGGAACTCCTCCAAAGGAGCCGCAAATCTTCCATGACAAAATGCACGATATGACTGGGCAACTTGGCTATACTCCTGAAATAAATACCAGTTCTCCCATGATTTTTCGTCTGGAAATAGGACATTTAAATGATTTGCGGCCCTTGAAGAGATCCCGAACCCATGCTGCACGCCCAAAGGTAAGATCATGCCAATCTTCTATGATCGGGCTTGATGATAGGAGACCTTCTGTTGATTGCTGTTCTTGTTCACAACTGGACAATCTCAAGTATCAAACAGGCACACCAATTGACACGCTGCACGTGATGGATGAATATATGGGACTTGTGGTGGTCTATATTGCTGGAGAGCCGTACTTCTTCATAGACAACAGTGTTCCAGGACTTGGTAATAGAACACAGAATGGACTTTCTAGCCTGGTATCTCTATTGAAGGTTCCAAATCGTCTGCTCCTCAGTCCACGTGGAGAGAAAGCATGGCGTCATAACGAAACCGCCTCTTCTTCAAAGAAACCATCAGGAATGGACTTTCACAAAGCCGAAATGGATTTTCTTTTTCCTATTGATACCACTGCCAAAGAGTATGAAAAAGTCTGCAATCGCATAAAAGAATTGATGGAATTGGGCTTGATATCTTCTAGCACTCACGACTTTCATGAATCACCTACAAACAGTCAAAACGTCCAATATTTGAGACCGTTTCGTTTGCTGAAAAGCCCAATTATCTATCCAACAGATGACAATTCTAGTGCAAGTCAGATGAGTCATTCATATTCAAATAAGCCAACTCGGTCTGAAATTGGCGAGACACAACAGGGTCAATCCCCGATCTCTGTTTCACCATCTTTTCAAGGGTTGAAAATCCTTAGACTCTTAAGGAGACGCGGGGACCACTTTTCGGTGCCTCTTTGGCTGAACCGTACTCGTGATAAATAGATTCGATTGGTCATGAAAATTTGAATCGTGAAGTCTTCTCATTCTTTACAAACTAGTTGACAACATCACGGGAAGAAGTATGGTGGGGGTGAAACATACTACTCTTGCAATCCTTAAGTGGACCAATGACTAAACAAACAAAGGTGCCTTCATCGATGACGAGGGTGCATCAAAAACAAGGAAAAAAGAAAAAAGAAAAAAAAAGTATATAGTTCAAATAAACGATAAGTCATTTTTGTCCAAAACTGTAGATATTCACGTACTAATAGTCGACAACTGCATCTTTTTAATAGGTGTTTTGAAGATACATATGATGATAACGACTTTTGAAAAAAAAACCTTATTCAGGGCCGAAGTTATATCTGCACTGGAAATATCATTGTTTGAAGCAAATGTCATTTTGTCCGATTGTCTTCCAACTAAACATATATACTATGCAAGTTACATATTCGAAGAGCATTATTGTCGAGCTAATCGGGCCCCCTTCATCACATTTTTGAACGATACAAGACATTTCGGTCCCAAAGCTTCGGAAGATAACTCATGAAGTTGCTTGAATCATTCAGCTTGATTTTGTGTACCGTATTGCTGAGGGTCTGTTTGAAAGAAGTCTGAGAAATTAACAACAGCAGATATAAATCTTATATGAGGAAGATGTTCTCGCAGTGAATAAGACCAAAAGGAAAGAAAAAACGATTTCATTCTTTTGTCCGTGAAATTGCAATATTTTAGTTACTAAAGAATTCACCGAGTCGAAACATTCGTCTTATATCCCACACAATAGACAATAACAAAACTAAGATCCTGTATATGATCGACCCCAGCCAAATATTTTCAGCGCCCTTTAGATAAATGATACATGATGCTGCTTTGAAATCTTGTAGATATAAAAATAGCCGATTGTGGTCTGCCCAGAATTCACAAAGTCTTGCTCGTGTGTTCTTGACGGATCCCCTTGTATTTGACCTCTCCTGATGGGCAACCAGAAAAGAGGCACCCGCATCCTTCAGCTAAACACAAAACTTGGGGAGCACAATCCACTGGAACTCACGGTATTAATGACCAAGATCCATGTTCAGAGGCTTGTATTATAAAATGTATAGGGGAATTAAAAGAACCTTTCGAAAGCACAACACCCGTGCACCACACATTACAGCCGACCTGCACATGGACCTGGCCAACCATATCGCCAGTAAAAAAGAGCGTCATAACGATTACAGCATTATCTCCACACTACCTACAGAAAATGGCTGCTCATCACATAGCCAAGTACGTCCGCCATGCAGCTCCTGCAAAGCCACATGTTGATCCTAGATTGAAGTGGAGCTCGAAGTTTCTTGGCGCCGCCATGTGGTTCTACATCTTTTACAGAGTGAAGAACGATTTCATTGAGGGCCACCATTGAACCACCGACGAAAATGAAAGAAAAGAAGCATTTGGCATAGTGCACGGGCGTTTGGCCATTTCGAGTCTTTATGTTGAAACCTGAACCTGAATTCTGTGGTCGTGTTAAACCGGGCTTTGGTAGAGGGCCCTTGCTCTGCTCTTGTATACTACAACATGAAATACACAATACGAAAATCTGAATTTGTAGACTTAGGTACAGAAGTGTGCATTCAAATGTTTGAGCCACTCAGTGCAGGGTGGTACGACTAGCTTCTCATGGTATTAGAAGGTGCACATGGCGAGGCAGAATTGAGTGATTATATCCATGGTGCTGGGAAGGCGTATTGTAAGGCACTTGTTGCCTCCTCGTTTGAATCTTTTGAGGGTGCTACTACAAAACGCAAAGCAGCACATCTCTGTAACAATGGCTTGGGGCTTTCAAGTATGGGGAATACACAAATACATATTTAAACTACTGGTGTCGGCCTGTGGGGTCTTCATTTCTCCAGACTTTAGTCCCGAACAGTGGAGCTCTTAAGGATAACAGGTCACTATAAGAGATCATTGCTCACTATTCGTATTTTACTGTGCTACGAGGCATGCTATGATTTAGTCACAATATGAGATTGCTCCGATTTGCGGCCCTGGCGTTTTATGAATAGTACTACCTCCGAGTTTGCTTCGCCTAAAGATAATTTACACTGCACTCACTTGTTTTAATCGAATAAGATCGGTAGATTTGAGGTATACTGATACCATTTATATCATTGAATATGACTAATGATTGCTCAAAAGTCTCATTGTGAGAAAAGCTATGGACAGTGGAATGAGGAGAAAAAATTAAGGGTTTTTTAGACAGTTTTTCGAACAGTTCGTGGTTGCACATGTTGTCTCACGGCTTATTGATAAAGTGGCTGTGATTACGACTCCCCTCTCAAAAAGAGAATCACAAAATTTGTTTTAATACAATCGAAACGAGCTTCATCATAAACCAACATATGTGGTGGGTTCAAGTTATAAAATGACTCACTTCTGGCCGAAAATCATGGTTCAATTCTACCATCTTGTGCTTACTCTTTGATGAAAACGACCAATAATTTTCAGCCAAAAATCCATCCGGATCCGAACACCATAAAATACCCTACGTGATATGAGCGTCCAAATAAACCTTAGTCTAAGCAATGTTTTACAACAAAAGAGAATGATTATTTATGCAATTAATAATAAATTCTGAGAGACCTGGATGTATTCAATTTCGTAACATCATTCCCCAGCAAAGATTCAAGACTGCTGGCCTCGGAAATACCACTCATAAGCACGAGAATCTTCAAGCTTGACAAGTGAGAGCTGAATGGGTTTCTACTTAACTAAACGCACACTCTATCTATTCTGTTGAGATATTAGAAATTGAGACAAGTTCCCAACATCACAGGCCTTTGAAATGTACTTACATGCTCCATGCAAAGAAGTAAGGCTAGACTATTGATCAGAATCTGAGTAAAGAATTCGGAATGCAACGTTGAACATCTCGGACGCTTTTGTTCGCGTGACATAGAATTTGCGACCGATGCAGAAAAAAACTTTTGTCCCTCAACTCTTTTTCCATGTTGAATTCCGCCATCAATATTTGTTTTATCGGGAAGCTCCCCTTTTTTCATTCTATGTTTAATGACTCAACTCGGGTTCTGTATGTACAGCTATGTTTTATTATACTGATCCACCATGCTTGTGACGCGCTGACTGCTCCTGTTTTTGCAGCCACTACTCGTGCAAGGGACAACGATTCATAAGTTTCAGACCAAATTCCAGACCTATGATTTCTAGGCATTTTTACATACATATATAGCCAGGTCACTCAAGCGTTGTCAAACTCTGGAATCATTCTGGAAAATTCGGTCTGTTCTTTCGCAACATACACTAAAGGAAGTGGGCGGGTAAGTTCATAAGACCTCTCCATTACCACAAGTTTTATACAAAAGAAAAGAAAGGGACAGCAACATTGTGACTCACATTGTGACTTCTTCTTTTTAGAAGAAAGATTCTGTTACCAGCCGGGCTGAAACTTGGAGCAGTCGCCGCAGTCCCGTTCCCTAATGTCGTGTCAAGCTGAACGTGGTAAGAAAAATAGGACAAACAGCAGGCCCTGAAATAAAATTCGAGGCTTCTGGCGTCTACTTTAAAACACTTTCTGCCCCACTATGTTCGATGATTTCTTGCACTAAATAGCGCAGTATGCTTGTTTCAGGCCAGGCACGCGTTACGCGGTCCCCCATTTTCCAGATGGGCCAGTACGATAAAAGTCAAGAGCAATGTTGATTCTCGAAACGTTTCTAGCCCATTGAAGATCGCCGCTGAGGCAAAGAAGACAACCTGATCCAAATGCATGTCTCGAGCTTCTGGCCCCCAGGCCTCGTCCCTGCACCCGTGCATCCTTCATCACGTGCCCGGCAGGTGACCATTTTAGGTATGCCCCAGAATTCACCCCACGATTACACCAGCCGTTCGCTCTGGCACATACGCCGTACATGTTGGACCCTCCAGAAAGACTCCGCAAGGCGATTGTGGCAGGCAACTTGGCCATCTCCAAACGCTTGTTGGCCCGCTTCCCGGAGCTTTGGCTCAACGTGGACCCGGCACACCAGGGCTGGTGCAACCTCCACTACGCGTCCTTCCACGGCCACTACTTGGTGTGCTTCCACCTCGTCTCGCAGATGAGCCGTGTGCGTCTAAATGAATCTTCGCTTTGCGACCTCGATCTCGTGACTTTCGACGGTTTGACTGTCTTACACATGCCGCTCCGGCATCACCACTCGCAGACGCTCCATTTCTTGCTCCAAGAATTCCTGGGGGCCCGCTGGCTCGACCGCCGGGGCGGCCCCGTGCATCGTACGCCACTCCACTATTGTTGCGTGTTCCGCTTCATTGACGGCGTGAAGTTGCTCTTGGAGTACGGTGCAGACTGGAGACTTCCGGATGCAAATGGCGACACCTGCCTCCACCTTTGCTTTGCCTACGGTGGCCTTAAATGTATTGAAGCGCTTTTGAATTATGTCATGGCTGACGCTCTTCGGCGGCAAAAGACCGCCAGAGGTGACGGTTCCAGCTCCGCGAACCTGGCCATTCATATGACTAGTGGTACCAAGTCCAGCTCCTCAGCTAGCTCGCCGGAACAAATCCGTGAGTTTCTACATACGGTAATTGCGCAGTGTGAAAACACCCCGAATGCCCGTGGACAACTCCCCGTGTGTTACGCTGTTTCCTTTGAAATGGAGCGCCAGTATCATTCCCTGAAAAGAATGTGGGTGGACAAGCTCGCTGAAGACGAAACTTCACTTCACACGATGTCACAGTGGGATGCTTCACTGCTGGTGCTCGAAATATCTCCGGAGAAATATTCTCGGCCGTCCTTAGGCACTAGCCTGCTCGCAAATTACGGGAATATCGCATCCATTCTGCGCACCTCTCTCGACTCTGACATGATAGAGACGTCCAATTCGAGCACAGAAGCCCACAACTCCGTAGAGTCCAGCCGAGCGTCGGGACTTCGAGAAAAAGATGACAGGAAGCCCACTGAGTCTGTGGTTTCCGACTCAGACCGCAAGGGCCGCAAGCACCTGAGGTCATTGCCCATTGCTGGTGACAGAGACATCGTTTTGCCGCCCGTTGAACTGCATAAGCCCAGTCGCCAGCACGCAAAGTCGCTTGCACTCAGCTTCCGTGGCTCACCGCTCATAACACGGTCGCTCACATCCTCGCAGGCACTTCCCATTAGCCCACTTCAGGTTGAATTTACCAGTGCTCTGTCGCGGAGATCGTCATTGGCATTGCTGCTGATGCGACAACTGCTGAGGAATGATGGCTTGCTGCAAGCAGAAGCGCCACCGCTGCGTACTGATGACTTGGACCACGATCTGGACGATGCAGGTGGGAAATACACTGCGCTGATAACACCGGTTTCGGGCTCCTTTGTGAACCAGTTCACATTTTCACCGCTTTCACTTGCGCGCCGCGGATCTGCTTCAGGTATGTGGCTAGCAGACTCAGATGCTCACAGCCAGGAAAATCCAGGGACAAGAGAACACGCTCCCCGTGATAAATTCACCCTTGGTAACAAAACTGGCTCGGGCATGCTCCGCAAAGAAAGCAGCACGGAAACACTTATACGTCATGCGTCTACACCAGCTAAATTGTCGAGCGTGTTCCGGAGTAGTGAATCTCCAACCGCGATTCTCGGACAAAATAGGGGACCCAGCACAGGCAGCTCCCCTAGCAAAATTTCGCCTGGGAAACTTCTGAGCAACAACTATGTCACTACCGATAGCTTTCCGGACACGCAGTCGAGCTCAAGATCTGAAATTTGTGACGACACAGATAAAAAGTTTGTGTTCACGCTCCCCAGGCTGCACAAAAGCACACATCAAAAAAGTCTTCCAAATATACGGGTGAAGAATCCGCAAGAAGTTCAGGCAACTTTGGACGAAGACCAACTGTCGCTGCCTCGGAACGTGCGGAGCATTAGCTTCGCCAGAGTGAGGGAGGAATGAGGCTCTAGAGCATTATCTATGCACGTGAAGAGACTCAGGGTGTTTTAAGTGTTCAAGTGAAGTGGACATCATCGCGCCTTAAAAACCTCTCACTAATGACTCTCTACTCGTCTTCGATAGAAAAAACAAGTTCCCCGTATGTGTTTTTTGTCTACGCCCAGGCTGGTGGCGTCTGATGATCAACGCGGCGAAGCATAGGAGGTTTAGCGACCTGAATCTGAGATCGCGAAACTCACGCTCAATAAGCTTGGTGAAACCATTATCAAACGATCTCATGCAGTAAAATGGCAAGATCAATGCCGAAACCTTGTGCTTGCTGTGCGATTGTTTCGAATACACAAACAGTGTGCGAGAGTTTCTGACTGGTATGTAAATGAAGTGAACGTAATGAATTAATGATCAAAACTGATGAAGATAAAAAGATGTAGACACTCTAACAGTGCTATACAATAGGGACACTGTTTTAGTGACTTAATGCTTGGGATGCGAATTCTTCGTCTTCATTCTGTCCGTCGCCACCTTCCCAGGGCTGCCTTCTGTTCCGGTCTGATTGCCCGCTTACTTTAAGTTTTTAGTATGGCCTTCTTCGGTCTGCTTTCCCAACCCTACACCGTTCAAAAGGCTATGGATCCGATGAAGTTTCTAGCTCTTCTGATCCTTGGAAATCTTTTTTGGCGTATACCAACATAAAAATGTCATTTTAAAGGATACATTCTCCAGCAAGATCCTCGACTTAGGGGAAGTTTTCGATGCCAAACTGAAAGGACTTGCAGGCCAACCACCTCAACTCGTGAGAAAACTTGTTTTGGTCGGCGCAGTTCTGGTCTGTGACAACAAATCCATATAGGGCGGCATCTGAGTCACACAACGGAGCATGCTTCGAGATGAAAGATTGGATGTACTGCATCCATACGTTTTTTTGGAACAGCAAGTAAAACAGGCAGTATATCGAGACGCAGCTGAACGTGAACAAGATCCGGAGAGCAAAGTAATTTCGCAGTCGGGCCAAGTTGATGAAGTCCTCGCCGAGTAACACCAAGAACTTGAAAAGCGGCGTGGGGTGGCCCTCTCGGATCGCCGAGAAGTAGCAGGATTCAAATAGATAGAGTGTTTTCTCCAATGTCTCGTTTTCAAGGCACATCTGGGGCCCTATTTCGCCAAAGGTAGCATTGGCAAAATGGAATTCTGGGAGCTGGAAGCGGAGAGTCTCCACAAGCCCGATTTTTTGTGAGGCGGCAGTTGGGGTCCAGATGCTGTATTCGACGAGGGTGTCGACAAGACGATCGCGTATTTTCAGCGGGGCGGTGGAGAAAAGTCGGTGCAAGCTGGCAAAAAAGCCAATGTAGTCCAATGGACACTCTGTCCCGTCCTCTAGAAGAGGCAACACACAGTGTGGGTGCACGCCCACGTAGGCAAAAATCAAGTACCCCGAGAAGTAGAGAGCAGCAAAGTCATCGTAGTCGAGGCCATGCTGTTTTTCGGCGAGGAAAAGCTGCGACGACTGGAGAGACGAGATGAAGTAGGAGGCGGTCTTCCGAAAAATGCTATGGGCCGAGTCTTCAAACACAGACACTCCCTCAAAGACATGTGTAAACAGCAGGTCTTCTAGAGACCCAGTCTGGCCGGGGCTTTCTTGCTGGTCAGCTTGGAGAAGCGTCTGCAAGTTGGCCATGGGCCATAGATATAGACAGGCCATGGCGTACGTGGACTGCCGGACCAAGTCCAGCGAGGCAAAGTGTTTTGGAAACACGTGCCGCCAAATCCGGTGTGTATGTTTGTTGGCCTGGAACGTCACGTACGGCACACATTGGTCGTGGAACAAGTGGAGGAGCCGGAGCTCGAAGCGGGTCATTTGCAACTGCGTGACGGCCAGGTTGTACGGCCTCGGGCGGAGCACGTGACCCGCCGCCGGGTCTTTATCAGTACAATCCTTGATTTCGCTATTGATTGACGCTTTGTACGACTCTGTGGGGGAAGCTGCAGGGGACTGGCGATCGCCCTCGCCAGTTATATTAGCAAGGTCCAGGCGCGGCGTATCCTGGGACAAAGGGGAGTTTTCACGCACTTTTGGGGGCAGGGGAGAGGCTGCAGCGGTAGCACAAACAATTCTTTGGTCAGGATAAACACAAACCCGACCTGTGTGGGAACAGTATTCACAGCAAGGTTTTGCCTCGTCACACTGGAGTTAGTAGCTGTGCGTCGCACAGAATGGTGGCAGTAAACAAAGGCACAGCTTCAATACATACTTTGATTTTCAACTTCTTGCAGCTAAGGCATCCTTTGCGAGAGAGCTGGCGTTTTCCACGGGGCATGGGCATGCCGACGTCTACAGATGGGTGGATATCTCGATTCGTCTTCTTCGATAAGCCTGCGTCTGGCCGACGTCAACGCTAGGTATGCAGGCAGCTGGCGTGACTGCAGGGCGGTGCCAGCAGTGGTCTAGAAGATAATGGCGGGGAGCTTTGGGTGTTTTAAGATCTTTGGGGGCTACCGTCGTTTTTGAATGCATCAGTTTGTTCTCACAAATAGTCATCAAAATGAGCAATAAGAAGGGGCTATGATGGAGGCAGCGTGCGTTCACTTGGACGCATATTTGTTCATGAACATTTTATCTGTCTTGTAGCGTGAAACGTTGATCGTAATGTAAAATCCCTGGGTTTGAGATCAGCGTTAAATTTAAAACGTAGTAATTCGGGGCATTGGTGCATAGGAACCAGCGGTAGAGCTTTATTGGTGCTTCGAAGAGCGGCGAACTTTGGAACGTTGGTTTGATGACGCATGAGCTGAAACAATCTCGGGGAGATAGACCATTTGATACTGCAAGTTTCTAGGGACTTATAATATTAAACTTATTATTCCACATAATCTGGAAGCATTCGTTATCAGAAAAGGCTTTTTGGGGATACATCATGGAAATGGCTGAGGCGCCAAGCATAGTGTTACGTGAGCTTCCAAATTTATTCAAGACATCGAAGATAGATCACGGTCTACTCTGTTCATCTAAAAAAGCCGTAAGCCTCGTATTTCCGGAAAGAAAGGCGTTTGATCTAAAAAGAAAAAAAACGAAAACATCTCTATTTTGAGATCGCGAAAGGCTTAAAAGGTTCCTAATTCACTTGAGCTCACATTGTGTTCCTCACAGCGAATCAGTCAAAGTTTGTCTGGCCCACCAGTCACTAGCATATACTAACAGTCATTGTTGCCCAGCTGGTGATTTCTAAAGTGGATTTTTTTTCGAAGGTTGAAGGCGCTTTCGCTCAACGTATTTCGCTAAAACCGAAGTGCTGGAGCGAGTACCGGGGGTTCAACCACTATGAAATATTCTTTTTTTTTTTTCACGAGACAAAACCGTCCTTGGGCTTGGCCTACCCAAGTTTCGGTGTTTCACTGTGCCAAAGTAAAAGGGCGTGGGAATTTTTACATACCGTTCAAGCGATACTTTGTATATCGCAAGACATTACTTGTCGTGGATTTATGATTTCACTGACTACTTTTAATTCTATGCAGAATGTAGGACCACTCGCTGGCTTGAAGTATACGGGAGGGAACTTCCGCCCGTTCTTCATACGTATCTTTGAAGGGAACAATACATCTAATGATCTCTGTTGTTGAGTTGCAAAGTATTCAACACGAACACTCAAAAATGTTAAATTTTTCTGAAACACTTAATCTGCGACTGATCTTTGGATACACAAGCCACTTTCCCTTCATAAATTTCTCAAAAGCAAGAAATGAAGTACGCAATTCTTCAGCTATCGACTAGTGGCGATAATTCCCCATTTATATTGAGATACTTGGGACAGATGCGTGCTAAAAAGACCGTCCAGACCGCGATTAACGGAACGACACGGGCAGTATATCGGCACTAGGTCCGTATTTCGGAGCGTGAGAAACGTCTTTTATTTATGAATCATTTTTGTTCCTTTATTCAGATCTATCAAAAAATCACAGTTTAGGCCTGGAAAAACAAAAAGATTGCAGCACCACAATTTCGCATATGGTCTCCCACTACACTACTCAGTGTGGCCCTATGGAGCTTAACTAACGTTGATCGGACGGGAAACAGTGTGTTCTCCATGGTATGGCCGCAACCGAAATTACGTGACAAAATGCTAAATTTATTTAATACATTTTGCGTTTATCGACTTAAGACCTAAAACATGGCGAAAAATCTGATTTAATGCAAAAAAAAGCTCATTCTATAAATCAGTGACTGCAAGTTATTGCCGGGGTGTTTCCTTTGGGCCGAGCTAAGACACTTGGTACGTAGCTGGATTCGTTATATAGTTTTGCCCCTTTAATCAGATGAATCTACCAAAAACAAATTCCCGAATTAAAGGCAATGAAACGCAGGAGAATATTTTGGAAAGCATCATACAAACAAGAATGGTTGGTGCAAAAGGATCTCACCGCCATCCATCTATTCCATCACCGCTGCTATATTCCCTTACATGATAACAAAGTTGAGCTGTCGCAATTTGAATGTAGGTTGTGCTTGAAACGCTGCTACGGCGATCAGAAGTTAACCCACCTCTACAGTAAGTGCACTTTTGGCGGCAAAAGATTGGGTTTCAAGCTCCAATGCACTTACGGGAGATGCTCGCTCATTTAAATACTTTCTTTGACAATTTAAGAAACCTCGATTGGTTTGTTGAAGTCGTTCGCAGAATTTAGGACAAGCAAAGACAAATGTACGTCTTGCCGCCTTGTTGAATGAATTACAGTCACAGGCCCTCACGAAGGCATATCCTACAAGAAAATAGCATCTAGTTAAATATTCAAGTGGTTGACATTGGTTATGAGCAGAAGTCTTTGTATCCCGCGAAGGGAGAACTAAAATACATTATATAAGATATATCTTCTATGTACTCACATCTGAATAGATCAAATATACTATCAACGTCATGCCCCGAAAAACCTGGTATACCCTTGGGCCGGGTATTTGAATTGTAGCAGTCCTCCAGATAGATATGATTTACTTTGGAAATACATGTCATAAAGAGTGCATATACCCTTTGGACTGTATATTCTAGTTTGAATTAACGTACAATAAACGATGATCCAGTATAAATATGATAATATATATCCTCTTTGGGAGGTTTTGTGAATTGGTGCTCGCGCCTTCCGAGCCAATGCCGCGATCTGTCTTTTTTTTTATGGTTTTTCGTTAGTGGTGGGGTCTATATCCCTCCAGTGACATCTATAATAAGATGATTTCTTTGAAAAAACAATGTTGACACCAAGTGCGTATTTGAGAGCCGCCGAAGTCTTTAAATATTCATAGTCTTTGTTGATCTGATAAACAGCGGACAAGACAGAAGAAGCGGTGAGTCCAGGCCGCAATGGAAGTGGCGGTAGATGAGCTCTCTGGCCCAATTGGATGCGCATTCCGGAGATCCATTTTTTGCTCGACAACCTAATACTTTGGAGATGAGTGATGGATGCTTTTGGCTTTAACTGGAACGGCTTTTTTTGGGATTGCGCTTTGGTTTTATTTCTTAATCCAACCTCGCAGCTGACATTTACCTGCAGCTTCTCGTATATGATATCTTGAACTTTGACACCCTGCTTCTACACCCTGCTTCTACATTGGACTATAGACTCCCCTCCACACCCGGCTCCTAAATTCAGCCTCGAAATTCACTCCCCACATTCATCTCATTCAGCATCCACAGATTTTTAGCACCCAAACATTCTTTACCCCTGAATCAACTTCCCTGCCCGACCTCTTCACCAAAACGCCAGTTCTCTCTTTTTCGCGAAGTGCCCCAAATATCACTTTATTCCACGTTTCAGTCTCCGCCACAGAAAATCCAGAAGCAGGGCTTTGGGCACCAAAAACACACGCATACTCGACATCTCGGCGCCAAGCACCACAACCAATCATTTTTTGTTCTTCTTTTTCCTTCCGTGTTCTGACGCCCCACCCTATAAAACAGAGCGTCTGCTCGCTGGCCTCGGACGCGGCCCCAGCTTTCGCGACTTTGGGCCGCGCCATCTGAACATCGTTTTAATATAACTCCATAGTGGACCACCAAAAGCGCCCGTTTGGCCCGCACACAGCCCTCGACAAGCGTTTCAATTGCACCGGTCTCACACACATAAATGGAAAACACGGATATGGGCCCGCCTGTAAAAGCAAAGCGTCCCGTGGCCAAGGGCCAGCCGGCCATCAGCCGGTTTTTTGCCGCCAGGCCGCAAAACGAGTCTTTGGACCCGGCCAGCAGCACCGCTACCAAGCGGGAAATCGCCGCTTTTTCGAGCCCGCCCAGCAAAAAGCCCAAACCGCCCCTGCTCGAAGACAGCGGACCAGCAGGCTCTTCCATGGAGCACGCCAGCACTCTGAATCGGCCGCTGGGGCCCGCTTCAAACACACCTGAAACCGCTCTGGAGGGCACCGGCGGCAAAGCGGGGGCACCTGCAGAACAGCCACAAACAAAGGCTCCCCAGCGAGCCCGGAACCGGCCCGCGGCGGCGAAAACTGCGGCCGGCCCGGCCCGGCCCCGGCCGGCGGCGCCCAAGTTGACGCCCTTGGAGCAGCAGTTCCGCGACTTGAAGAGCCGCCACACGGAGAAGGTGCTCGCCATCCAGGTCGGGTACAAGTACAAGTTCTTCGGGCAGGACGCGGTGGTGGCGGCGCAGCTCTTGAACATCATGCTTATCCCCGGCAACATCGCCTTGGACGAGCGCACGCACGAGCGGTACGCGTACTGCCTGATCCCGGACGTCCGGCTCCACATCCACTTGCAGCGGCTCTTGAACCACGGGCTCAAGGTGGGCGTGGTCAAGCAGACCGAGACCGCGGCAGAAAGGGGCGCCGACGGGCCGGGCAAATCCGCCGTGTTCCTGCGGCACATCAGCGCCGTGTACACCAAGGCCACGTACATGGGCGACGAGGACGTGGGCGGCGGGCGGGCGGACAAAACGCCGGGCCTGGGCCCGCAGGCGGCCCGCTACATCGTGTGCATAGACGAGCTGCAGCACCCTGCGCAGACGGGCGTCGTGGCCGTGCAGCCGGCCACCGGCGACATTGTCTACGACGCGTTCCGGGACTCGCAGCTGCGCGACCAGCTCGAGACCAGGCTCGCGTACTTGAACCCGAGCGAGGTGCTCGTGGTGGGCCTGCACGCGGCCGTTTCCAAGGACACCGGCGTGGCGTTGAAGCTCCACTGCCCCGACGCCAGCGTCCACGGCTTTGCGTGCCGGCCCGACGGCGCCGTGCAGACGGGCTTGGAGGCGTTTTTCGGCGGCCTCGGCGCCCCGGGCTCGCACGCCCACGTGTCCGAGTTCTACCTCTTGCACTTCGCCGCGTGTGTCCAGAGCTGCGTGCTCCAGCTCGCGGAGCACCTCGCAGAGTTCCGCCTCAGCAACGTGTTCACCATCACGTCCAACGTGGCGCCGTTCGCCGCGGCCGGCAGGTACATGGTGTTGCCCGCGGCCACGCTCCGGGCGCTCGACGTGTTCGAAGTGCACGACGACGCGGCGGCCCGCCGCGGCTCCTTGGTGTGGCTCCTCGACCGCACCTACACGCGCCCGGGCGGCCGCATGCTCCGCCACTGGATCGGCCGCCCGCTCGTGGACAAGGCCCAGATCGAAAAGCGGCTCCAGGCCGTCGCCTGCCTTGCGTGCGGCAAGTTCGTGCACGTGCTCGACGCATTCAAGGCGGCCGTGGCCAAGCTTGGCCGTGGCGGCGTGGACCTCGACCGGCTGTTGATCAAAGTGCACTACCTGGCCACGTACAAGAACGGCCGCGTATCGCGCAAGGACGTGTACCTCATGCTCAAATGCTTCGGCGACTTGCTCCAGCTTTTCCGCAACTTCGGCGACGCGGGGGTCGACGAGCTCGGGCTCGCGTTTGCCGACAGCGAGCTCCTCACGGAGATCATGCAATCTTTGCTCCGGGCCAGTGGCCAGAAGACGGTCGACCGCATCTTGGCCCAAATCAACGCCCATGCCGCCCTCAACGACCGCGACCCGGTGGAGCAGAAAACGGGCTTCTTCGTCCATCAGCACAACAAGAAGTACGCGGCCATCTCCGAGGAGCTTGCGCGTATTGCCGACATCGAGGCCGCCTTGGACACCGAGCTCCAGGCGCTCCGCAGGTCCATGAACAGGCCCCGCTTGGCGTACGTCACCAACATGAAGGAGACGCATCTCATAGAGGTGCGCAACGGCAAGATGGCCGACGCCTTGCCGCCCGACTGGCTCCGCATCAGCGCCACGAAAACGGTGGCCAGGTTCAGGACCCCGGAGGTCTCGCGCCTCCACAAGCAGTTGCAGTACCACAACGAGCGCCTCTTGAAAGAAAACGACAACTGCTTCAACCAGTTCTTGCAGGAGATCGACGCGGAGTACGTCTATTTCCGGCAAATCGTGCACGACGTGGCGCGCTTCGACTGTCTCCTCTCGCTCTCCACCCTTGCCCAGGACGAAGGCCATACGCCGTACGTGAGGCCGCAGTTGACCACCGAGCAAACCGTCGATATACGCCTGGGGTGCCATCCCATTCTCCTGAGGCTCCCGCAGAACAGCGGTGCCTACGTGCCGAATGATGTGCAGATGGCGCCGGACAAGAACAAGGTGCTCATCATCACAGGCCCAAATATGGGGGGCAAGTCTTCGTTGGTGAAGCAGATTGCGCTCTTTGTGATCATGACCCAAGTGGGCTGCTTCTTGCCGTGTGCGCAGGCAACCATGGGCATCTTTGACTCCATCTACATCCGCATGGGGGCGTCTGACAATATCTTGAGAGGCAAATCCACGTTCATGGTGGAGATGCTGGAGTGCGCCAGTATCGTTCAAAACTACACGCCGAACTCGTTGATCATTCTCGATGAGATTGGCCGTGGCACGGGCACCAGTGACGGGATTGCGCTCGCCTACTCGATTCTCAAGTACATCATCGAGGACAAGAACGGGCCATTGACGCTCTTCATCACACACTATCCATCGCTACACGTGCTCGAGCAGGAACACGAGACGGTGGCAAACCACCACATGGCTTTTGTCGAAAAGCACTCGCTGGATGGCGCCGAGAACGACTGGCCCGAGGTGGTGTTCCTCTACAAGTTAGTGGCCGGCGTGGTGTCGAACCTGTACGGGCTCAACGTGGCCAAGCTAGCCGGGATCGAAAAGGGCGTGATTGATCTTGCGCACCAAATGTCCCAGGCAATGAAGGCCGACGTGGAGCGGGGCGAGGCCTTGGGAAAACTAGGCAGCTTGCGCGCCGACAATGCGTTTGATGTTCTTTTCAATTTATTCTAGTCTGATATTTTTAGGGTGGCACTGAATGCCTGCACGCTGACACCACGGTCCCCAAGTGTCAGCAGGGCCGGGGCTCAAAGAAACCGATCACGGCGTTGTTAAACTCTTCTGGGTTGTCGAGGTATAAGTGGTGGCCGGCGTTTTTGAGCACCACAAGATCAGCGTCCGGATCGCTCAAGCCCCGGAGCTTTTCCACACAATACTCGCCGCCCTTGGAGTTCATCCAGTCCCTGTCCCCGTACATCCAAAGAGTCTTTATTTTGGCATCGTTCAAATACTCCACGAAGCCGCGATCGCAGAGCGGGATGCGGGGCACTATCTCGTGGTTGATGAGCTTGGTGATGGCGAGCTCGCCTGACGCCTGGTACTGGTTGAAGATGGAGAACGAGTATTCGTGAAGCTTCAAGATCAAATCAGCGTTTTGCGGCTTTGCTCCGCCAGGCTTCTCGTCGGCAGCGGGCTCCACAAAGTTTGCAGACAAGTTCTGGAAGCGCTGGAAGGACCAGAACGACAAGAGCTTCGAGTAGAACGGGCCGAACGTCTGAAGCAACTGGAAAGGCGAGATGTTGTTGTTCCAGAGTGCCTTGAGCACGGCGTTCCGCGGGAACCTCGGCTTGCCTAGACGCTCCCAGAGATGGAACCAGTCGTCCTCTTTGTTGTCTTCGTGCTCGAAATCCTGCGAGGCGAAAATCTCCTGCAAAGGGTCGCTTGCAACATCGTGGTGGTTGAATTGGAGCTTGCGGTTGTTGATCAAGCTGATGTCGCTGGACTCCGTGCCCATGGGGCTCACAAGAATGAACCGGTCCACGATCCTGGCATCTGGCCTGTTGTACTTCAAGAGGTAGCAGCTACAGATATACGCGCCCATGGAGTGGCCCACGAGGCCGAAATGGACAAGGTTCTTTTCGCGCCGCCACTCCTCCAACTGGTCTATGAACCAGTTTTCCACGCCGATGATCTGAGCAATCTCGTCAGCCCTTGACGCACCGCCAGGGAGCCTCAAAAGTGCGCTGGGGAACTCTGGCCGCGCGGAGTTGCCGAATCCAGGCATGTCAATCACATGCACCACCAAATTCGGGTATGAGCGGGCGATGGCCTCGACGTTCTTGAGGAAATAGCCCATCGCTGCCATGTATCCATGCACCAACACGATGTGCCGCCGTGGAACGCTCGTGTTCGACGCGTTGGTCACCTCGAACTCATGGATGAATCGTGCGCCCGCCACGGCGGCACTGGGGAGCGGCGTGTCGATGAAGCGGGCTCCGATTTTGGGTGCCGCCGCGTCGGTTTCACATCCCTCGGGCAAGACCAGCTCAGCCGCGTCTTCCTCGACGGGAAAAATGTGGATTTCGGGCGAGAGCACCGCGCGAAACAAGGCGTATTCGATTTTCATGTTCTGCCTTCGGGCGGCTGTGTATTGAGGCGTGCCAACGGCTTTTTCTGTTGGTTTCCGGAGCGCCAGCGGCACGCCCCACCAGTCTTTGACCAGGGACCACATTCCGATGGAGGATGCCAGCCTGGCCGGCGCAGGTGCGCCGCTCTGGCTGCCCATGGCTTCGATGGCGTGGCTGATGAGTGACATTTGCTGCAAATCAGGGGGATTGAAATGGCGCAAACGGGCTTGGCCGGGGGTCTTTTTTTTGGTGTGGAGCCTCGTAGATAAGAGCGATAAGTGGGTTGCGCCGCCTGCAGGCCGCAACGCCCTGCCGCGTCACGTGAGCAGGCCTTGGGCCGAGGTCGGGGCCAGCGGTCATCTTTGGAGATTTGTCTGGGGTTCTGGGCGAATATGCAGTGAGGAGCCCCAAACTTTGAAACGGTGCTAGACCGGCCGCGGACCGGTCTGGGATTTGGGTTTGGCCGCGTAGCGTTGCCTCGTCGGGTGGAACATACGGTGGTCTGGCAGGCCCACAACGGTCGTGTATTGAAGGGGTACAACCCAGAAAACATGGCTAAAAACATTACAAAAGAACGGCCGGACGGGATGCGCCCTTGGCCGCATGGCGCACGGACTGCGCTCGAACTGAAAACCGCTATTTGCCCAGCAGGCACAAGTGCATGTTCTCTCTGAGAATCGGGGCGCCGACCACACACAAGTCGATTTGACGATGGCAACCCAGAGCTTCCATCGGCGCCCCTGCCGCTCGTCTATCTCTTGGAGGGGAGCTCCGAGTAGGCCGGCGGGGCACCGGCAGGGCCCCCGCTTGAAGAGCCCTCCTGAGCCGAGGAGTCATTAGTGGACCCGTAAGTGGGCGAGAAGCTGGCCAGCGGCTGCAGGCTGACGGTGCTGTTTGCAGGGCTGCAGTGGTGATGGTGATGGTGATGGTGGTGCCGTTGGCCCTCCAAGTCCGCCGAGGTCTGGTGGAAGTGGTAGACTTTTGGCCCGCTGCGCCGCGAGTACGGCGGGTACTTTGCGATGATATACCACGAGTGCACCAACCCGGGGAAGTATCCGAGCACGCAAAGAAGAACGTTGACCAAGGAATCCATCGAGCAGAGTCCCCTGCGGATCCACACCGGGAGCGGCGGGAAGAGCACCGACACGACCACAAGCAAAATGTCCGACATACACTCACAGCAACACATGGGAAGGTTTCGACGCGGAAAGGCTGTTGGGTTCGGAGAGTTGGAAGCCGTGAGATTGCGGGAAAGATAAGGCGAGAGGCAGATGACCCAGTCACGTGACGCGGGCGCCCCCGTGGGAGTCTGTCTTTCCCGCAAGCCCGGCAGCGCCGGGCCGATGGCAGCGGGAATCGGCAGGCGGAGGCGGAGAGAGCACCGGCGAAATGCAGCGCCACGGCTGCCGCCAAAAAGGCATACTCTCGCACATCCATGTTCTACACATGTCTCATCGAGGCATGGTGGGACACGGCGAGGCCGGCGCCAAAGGCACGTTTTTCTCGGCAGCAGGGCCGAATCTCCGAGCCAACAGTCCAAAGCTCTGCAACAAACGAAAGGACAAGCCAAAAGGAAGGACCAAACAGGGGCCCTGTCTATTCGTCCGGGCCGTTCCAGCATCCTGCAGGGTGCGGCCTCGCCGTGGCCCAGCACACCCCTACATCCCACAGACACCGGGCCCAGCTCGCTATCCATCGGCCAGGCCCTCCAACACGTGTCTTCTGCCGGGCCATGTCGTACACGTTTTCGGTGGCGTACCAGAACAGCGTCAAGAAGGTCACGTGCAGGCCCACGGCCAGCGTGAACCAGTTGGTGGCGCTTCTGCTCGACAAATTCAAGCTTGCCCCCACCACAAACGGCACCTTGGCCCATGGGTCCAGGACGCTCGATGGCTTGACGCCGGTGCGGCTCGCCGGGCTCGTCAACAACGCCACGCTCATTCTCAAGACCGCTCTGGGCCCCTACGAGGCTGCCCTCAAGCTCGTGGGGTCCGTGGATGGCGTGCCCGTGGCGCAAATCTTGAAGGTGCAGTCCGACGCCACCTTGCCGCAACTAGTCACGCAATTGCTCGGCAGTTTGGGCGCCGGGGCGGGGCCCGGGGACAGGCGGGTGGAGTTGGGCGCCATGCGGCTCGTCGTGCGGAGCCTGCAGCCCGAGTTTGCGGCCATGACCGTGGGTGCTCTAGTGGGGTTTTCGCCCAATGCGGTGGTGCGAGTGGCCATCGGCGACGAGACAGCCGCGGCCCAGACCGCCGGGCCGGCGCGGCGGCAAGGCCGCCCAGACGAGGGCGCCCGGACCCCGGAGCCGGGCGCCGCCTCGGCCCGTGGAAATGCCGCCGTCTTAGCCTCGGCCCACGAAAACGCCGATTCCACCGGCCAGCACCACCAAGGGCCCGGGGCCGGGCGGCTCGGGGCCGTGGATCTGCAGGGGGGACGCGGGCACCAAACGGCCCTGCCCCCGGGCATCCGCGAGCCTTTAAAGGCCCCCCAGCGGCAGGAAACGACGCCAGAACTGCCCCTCCGGGGCCTGTCTCCTGGCGCATCTCTGGCCACGGCGGACCGCCAGAGGGCCCGTCCGGCCGCCTTCGCTGCGGCACAAACCCAAATCACGCCGGCTGCGCCGGAAAGTGCCGAGGTCTGGGCGTTGCCGGTGGAGACCAGCGACACCGTCTACGAGCCCGTGTCTTCCACCGCGCCGTACGAGAACCCCGCCGAGGACTACGAATTGACGTCCAAGCAGGCGGAAAAATACTACCAGATGCTCCGGGCGATGCAGGGCCGGCCCGCGGCCCGGAAGAAGGCCACCAGGCCGGCGAGATACACGATCCGCATCCGATTTCCTGACCGCACGCTCCTCGACTTGCACTTCGAGGACCCGGGCACCAAATTGGGCCAGTTGTTGAAGAAGCTCGACTCGTATCTCCTCCCGCCACACAGCCACAACTACCGGCTCCGAAACGGGCTGCCGCCATGCGAGCCGGTTGCGGTTGGGTTTGATGCCAACAACACGGCGCTTCACCACCACCCGCTATTCCAGCTGGAAAAGATCCTCTTGATCTGGGAATCGCGCGACCCAGCCCCCGGCCCCTACCTCAAGCCGGAGCTACAAAGAAAAGATGTGAGTGAGTTGCCGACAGTGGTTTTGGATACCCACAGAGGCAATCTCGAGGCCGAAGACGAGACTACGGGGGGCGTGAAAAACACCTTTGGCAGAGAGGGCAAGGAGACTGCCAAGCCGAAGAAAACGGGAATGCCAAAGTGGTTCCGGCCATAGAGGAACGATGCATGGCCATAGGAATACGATGCATGGCCATAGGAATACGATGCATGGCCATAGGAAGACGATGCATGGCCATAGGAAGACGATGCATGGCCATAGGAAGACGATGCATTCAGGCGAGTTGCACACGTGCTTCCGGAAGGAAAATGGGTGATATGTGCGCCTATGGAACACGGTCTAGTAATTCGAGCTGTGCTTGCTTTCCCAACTGGACTTCCAGAGAGGTTTTTCGTGATCTTCTTACTTAGATAAGCGCAATTGAAGAACTGAAATTCGTACGGAACGGCGGCTCGTGGCTGTTCGCTGGCTGTGGTTATACGAAGTGCGGGGACCGAGCCGTCTACTGACAGCCGGAGTTTGCCTCTCCAGCAAAGAAAAAGAAAACAGCATGCGCCGCAGTTTTCTACGGTGTCACTGGAACAGCGCAGTGTCGATAAGTAGTTGCCAATGATTTGTCGCTCTTCTCCACCATTCGACCCAATGTGACCCAGCTCCTTATCCTAATAATCTGGGCCGGTTTTCGGCGGCGGAATTACGAGCATGCCTGAGGCCTGGGCGCGCAGTCAAGCGGAAGCGGGCCGCTGAGAACTGCACACAAGCGCCGGACTTGAAGACCACAAGAAAAAAAAAAAGCAGTCCTGCAAAGCAAGCGGCTTGATCATCCAATTGCCGTGAGATGAGTTGACGAGTCGACTTTGCGGTGCTGAAAGTCTCGCAGAGCTCGGGATGAAGCTAAGAAAAAAGGGCGTTTCGCTTCAGCCGTGCCCCATGCTTACGAACCACTAGATGGCCAATCGCGGGCCTTTTCCATGAGTCATTTATCTGATTGGCAGGCCAGACTGAGAATTACGCGTTCGTATCGGTCGTGCAGAATATGCGGCTCGCGGCGGGATCTCTTGCGCAAAAAATTAATTGAGGCGAAATGCGTGCGAAAATTTTTCGCTTCGGGGTTATATATATGTGCGTGGTCGCCCCACGCCCTATCAGATCCTCTCTTTTTCTTTTCTTCATACAAACTTTACCTTAATTCCACTTTCCCCAGATTTCATATTTCTAGTTTCCACCATGTGCGCTTAAACTACACCCCGGTTTTAAGGTTTTCGATTTTTTCTGTTTCATCACTCAAGAAAAAAACATCACGTCAAGTTATTACATCAGATTCTGATAACTTCCCCAGTTTGTCCCCCCTCAATATGCTACTATAATGTTTTCATTCCCAATGGTGTCCCGCCTACCGGTTTTATCCCTCTACTGAATATTCCCCACTGAATATCACCCATAGATTATCAAAGTTAAATTTTTCCCGCTTTTTTGAAGTCCAGTCTTTCATCCCCTGCTGAACATAATCCAATTTTGAACTTTACCCCAATGTCTTCCCACGTGCAAGTTATGCAGAACGACGCCTTCGACCACGCTTTCATGCCTGCTCCGGCCGTGGCGCCCAAGCCCGAAATCATCGGTGAGTTGCTGTGCCACTTGCCCACGGCTGGCGCTCACGTGACCGGCGAGCCCGACCACCTGCCTATTTCCGTGCACACCGACGTCTTGGACTCGGTGTTCTCGGCCAACTTGGATGCCGAGGATGGCCACGCCTTTAACGGCACGCCCATGTTCGATGACTTGGACTTTATGGTGGATGGCACCAAAGCCAACTCCAAGGAGGACTGGGTTTCGTTGTTTAAGGACGACGATCCAGTCGACGCCAAGTTTGCTGGCCGTGACGAACCACTTGACGATTTGGTGGGCGACGATTTCAAGGAGTCGTTTGACTTTGTGCCCGTCGTGCCGCAGGTCAAGCAGCTCGAAACGCCAGCCACTCCTATGCTTGGAACACCTGTCATGGATGATTTCACGCCCTCTGTGCAGGGCACCAAGCGCAAGAGCGTGGACCACTTAGGCTGCGTGTCGTATATCAAGAAGCAGCGCACGCAACCGTTGAAGCCCATTGCTGCCGAGAACGGCGATCCGATTGCCATGAAGCGTGCCAGAAACACCGAGGCGGCCCGCCGCTCACGTGCCCGTAAGATGGAGAGAATGAGCCAATTGGAAGAGAAGGTTGAGGACTTGATGCAGGACAAGACCCATTTGCAGGACGAGGTTGCTCGCTTGCGCGAGATCTTGACTGCGCACAACATCATGTTTTAAGTGGCTTTTGTTCGGTGGCCCGGCTTGTGCTTGGCTGTCTTTATATTTCACTTCTCGACGCACCTTGTGGTGTTTTCAAATATAAGCTGTTCGTAATTGCGTCCCATATGTAGGCTGGTTTTTCCCCGTGTGCTTTCCTGTGCGTGTTGATGCGTTGTGCTCGTTGTGCCTTGTATCCACTGGTGGCACAATGCGGCTTTTAAAGAAGCTTGTCCTTGAACGAACCCGCACACAAGCTGGGGAACTTGTAGAAGTCCAGTGACATTTGGCTAGTAATCCACCCTTTTTTGTTGTTCATAATGTACTTGAGTTTGAGTGATACTTGAAGATTATCACCTACTTGCACCAACTGTGTACATTATACCATAATTTACTATTCCTCCCAAAATGTTATATTCTGGCTCTTCCGACAGGTCTTTCCGCATCTCAGGCTTCTATTTGTAGATTGTTATCAGTTTGATTCCGCATCCCGGTCGAAAATATGAAAATCGTACCTTGAGTCTCGTCAGGCCGCAGTTCTTTTGAGTATCAGACCTGGAAGTTTGCATAGGAAGGTTTATTAGAGTTGAAACCTTTCGAATGCACGGAAGCGATCATGGGGACATGCCAAGTCTCAAACAGCCACTGCCGGGAACAAACCCGTGAAATCTCTCACATGGAATCGCCGCCACACACTCTTTTATTTTGCATGCTAGTCGAACAGATGACAAGAAGTAATGAGAGCTCGCCTGGATCACGCTGACTTGTTCTGAATTGTTTTCTCTACTCCTGTTCGAATGCTGTATTGAATTCAGCATTGCTCACTTTTAATGAGTGTTCTAAAAGGCCTTGGATCCGGTTCCCACCAAGAAAGCAATATGGAAAGAAGAATAATCACATTGGGTAGAGGTATCCGATCCCGAGTTTCCACCATATTCACGGTTTCCTGAAGAGAACCTAGCATTTTCTCCTTCAAAAGTTGCTAAGGACAAGGAAATGGCCCAATTTCCCCGCTAAACCTCATCTCTACCCACCATAAAATTTCGTGTCCGCAACTTGTCGGTCATCCCTGGATTTCAGCTATTGCCTTCAAAAAACAGCAACCTGAAGTGACAACACCCCAGGACCCATATTTTGCCTTGGATCCTCATCTTGCAGAAAAAACCCCCAAAATCATACAAATGCCATTGGCCTGAGCTAATGCAAAACAGTTTCGTTAAACCCCCCTCGTCACTACTCACTTTTTAGCATAGGAAAGTAGCGCCAGGTTGCCGAACTGGCCGTGGTCGATATTCTCCAAGCAAGCGGTGGCCGCAGGCTCCAGGTCGAAATCCACAAATGCTAACTTCCTGAACTTAATGAGCCGTATCTTGGCGAACCCGGCAAATGCACCAAATTTCTCCTCCAAGAGGGCCAACTCTAGCTTGTTTTCGTCCACATTTTGTAGAAGCAAGACGTTGTTCGGCAGAAGCAGTTTCCACTGTTTTTCCTGTGCTTTGGATATTTGCGTTGGTGCCAGCAGAGCCGCTGGGGCCTCGGCCCTGGCCTTTTCGTCGGCCTCTGCTTTAACTTTTTTAAGCTGTTTACGGCGTAAAATGCCCTCTGAATCGCCCTTTAGACTCCTCTCTTGGTCCGACGGTTTTTGCGCAAACGACACGTGTAATGGTTTTTTGAACATGGGCCGGCCCTGCAATTTCAGAATGGCCTTCTCGCAAGACTGGGGTTCTTTATACGTGACGAAGGCCTGGCCTTTCATCCGGAGATTTGTATGTGCGGTGATTCCAACCACGGTGCCATAGCGCCCAAACAACTTGGCCAAAACAAACTTGATTTTATTGAGTGCGATTTTCTCGTTGATGTTATTGATGTATAGCGTAGTTCCAGATGGGGCGCTGGATGAGGTTTCCTGGTTCCTCAGTCCAGAGGTCTGGTCCAGCATGTTGGTGATGAGGTGTGGAACACAGGACAGAGAAAGATGGGGAAGACACGCAGAAAAAAATAAGAGAGATTGCAAATCTGGATGTTGCTTCGGGTGTCCTTTCTGGTTGTAGATCTGAAATGCAAAGAAGATCCTGTTTTGTCAAGAGTTGTGGGTTACTGACAGTGAGCATCCATCGATGTAAGTTCGCACCGCGCACGCAAATGGATTCCAATTCTGATCACGAGAAATGGCATACATCATCGAAAAACAGGCACCCTGTTTTTGGTCGCTTGATGAAGTCTTAAAATTCCTTGAAGCCCGTCCTTACAGGATCTGCTTTCGGTTTGATCGTGCAATCTGGAGACATACGGAAAGCTTTAATCTTAGACTAGAACTGGTCCCTCAGACTGCAGTGACAAAGTCAAACACCTGCTGACCATTGATTTCGATTCTAACATCAGATGTTATTCCATTTATAAAGAGAAACGACAGTGAGTTTCTACGAAAGAATATTTTCACTATGATCAGACGAAATTTTATGAAACTCAGAAATTTTGGGCATTGTCGGAACATGACAGTTGTTTCAAATTTGGAGACTTCAAAATGCGATGTGCATACGAAACATCACAAATCTTTCCATGATATCTTCTTATTTAATGCTGTAAGAGCTACCTGTGCTTTTGGTATTCAAAACTTGAAGAAACCTTGCCAAAACATACCATATTGTGAATGTTGTTCTGAACGCTTCCCGAATTCAAAGGGGGTTTCACTATGAAGTCTTTATTTCATCCGTGTAAAGAACGATGATCAGTCCATCCGAGCATGTGAATTACAAATGCTTCAACTCAGTCTATAACTTTTAAAGTATAGCAGGCCTGAGTTCTTGAGGGCTTTTTCGAAACGGTTTTAGATCATCAAGTTGGGACATATCAGGCCACCTCCCGTCCGCAACATCACCGAAGGTCTCACATATTTATCAAAGTGATAAGCAAAAAGCCACATGTTGTGTAAAGCGGTAAAAGTGGAAAAAGAAGCATCGTATTAGGAGCAGAATTTCTGAATTTGATGCCCAGTAGTAGAAAATAGAAGATTATAGTAATGCCTGAGTTCAAAAAGGCAATATCTGACATGCAATCTTTACGAACCACCCCATTAAAGACTTAAGTTCCCTCCTCTATAATATAGTTATATATATACTTGGCCGAATGGGTATAAGAGTGGGGAATTTCGAATAACATTATTATTCTTATTATTCTCAACCTCAGGCGGGGAATAAAAATGTTCAAATTTCCCATGATCCATATATTCAACCACAAAAGTTAGGTAAGAGAATAAACGGGCTCTAAAACCTCTATAGAGGTAGCTAAACTCTAAAGTGCTCTATATTGGCGAGTGACAGGGAACGTGAAGATATACTGGTTAAACTTCACTCAATGAAGTTCGCGAACAATATGTATATACATATATAAATGAGAAGCCAGTAGATGTTATGCTCAGCACTGGCTTTGTGTTAAATTTAGCTATAAATTGAGGCGCCGTCTCTCCCAACTCAGTTTTATCTCCCACCATCTTTCTTCTTCTCGAACTTAGATCACTGGAAGACTCTGACTCAAGACTATTCAAGTGAACACTAAAACCGACAACAAGAAACACCCCACCCACCCCTCCGGACTTTTTTTGACTTTGAACCAATGACTGTTTCATTCGAATCAAGTTCTGTTTTCGTGGGCTCCTCCGAGCTCACCATGCCAACCATCCCCACCGGCGCTAACCAACCAGCTGACACTAGCAGCTGGTATGAGAGACACGCCAGGGGAACCGTTGGATCTTTTTTTGGCTGCAAAGAAAGATCTCACCCCATTGGCGGATATGCTTCAGTGTACGCTGAAGTGATTGCCGCCAAGGGTGCCCGGCTGGTCCAAGCCTCCACTACTACTAAAGGTAGTGTGGAGGAGGTATCGGCCAAGAAGCCTGACAAGGTTTCCGAAGCCATTGCAATCGACTTGAAGGGAGAAACCCCAGCTCAAGTCGATTCTTTGGAAATTGGCGCCACCCAAGCTCCATGTAGCTTGGCTGGTGCTGGTGCACAAATCAGTGTGCAAGGCGGAGAGCCAGTGGCCCCAGAATTGGGCGCGGCCCCATGCATGGGGCCAGAAGTGGCTGCGGCGGCCCTGGAAATGGCTGCAAAATCCGGGCCAAAAGATGCGAATTTGGCCCCAGAGAGGCGCGCGGCCCCGAAAAAACATGGGCCTAAACTGAAGAAGCGGGCCCGCGCCATGCGGAAAGCTCGCCGCGTGGCCAAAAAATTAAAAAAATTAGTGGGGGTAAAAGAACCCCATGGGATAAACTTTGGAAAGGACAAGAGAACTTTGAGCAAGAAGGATTTGGGGAAAAGAGTCTTTGTTCCCTCTGATCCCAATTTGCCTTTGTTCGATCAATGGTTGGACAACACTGTGGGGCCGCTTATCGATGTGGTTTCCATGCTGCCAGAGGAGCTCGCCGCGGGTCAGGTAGAGTTTTATGATGGACAATATGAGTTTTTTGATGAACAATGTGACGACTACGAATACCAAAATGGACTTGCCCCCACTTCTATTCAAAGCGAGGCAAATTTTGGCATTCGTGAGAAACTCAACCGGAGTCGCTTCAAGATGAAAATTGGCGTCAAGACGGTTCTTAAAAAGACTCCAAAATGGCCCCAGAAGTTCCGGGCCGCTATCAAGGATGGAAATGGCTGGCGCTCTTTTTTTCCTGACAGATACTTGCCAAAGCCCCGGGACTGGAGCGAGTTCTTTTCTGACGACGGAAGATCAAATTATGATGTGGAATGGCCCTATGATTTCAATCCGGTAGTGTACTACCATGTCGAGAATTTCTTGAAGGCGAGCAAAAATCGGGCTACCGAGTCGGGGAGTATTGACTTGGTGGAATCAAAGGAAGAGAGCTTGGAAAAGGCAGAAGGCACTCAACCTCAAACTGAAATTCAGGGTAAACACGAGGTCACTCAGGGCTCCCCTTGCAATTCGGAACAAACGGCAATCCCCATTATTCAAGAAGCAAATTTGGGAATTGATGAAGGGGCAAGCATAAAGACTTTCGCAGATGTCGAGTCAAATGGAAACCCTGGTTTCTGTGCTTCAGAAATAATCTTCTCCAATGAATGGGCCTCTTCCGATGGAGCTGTTTCGTTAAAAAGTGGGAAGCTTTCTGCTCATGAATTTCTGCCAAAGGAATTCAGGCTCAGAAGCAGGGGAAGCCTTCTTGAAGGAAACAACTCTAGTGTGATTCTTTCACCCCTCAATTCAGGGATGTCCTTAATTTCTCCTTTTCTAGACGAGAATTTGGACAACAAAAGCTTCGGGACAGAAAGATCATTTTCCCCTATGAAAACTTTGGATGGCAAGACACCAGAGGAGCCATTGATCCCAAAAGCTGCCGACAACTTGCCAAAATCCCAGGGAGACGAGGAACTTGGCGCTATCAAAGGGCCGTCAAAGACGTTTACTCTCTTTTCAAAGATGTTTTCTCTGAAAGCTGATCTGATTTCTGACAAGGCGGAACAAAAGGATGGAGATGTGATCAGTCCGTCGGTCAAGTCTCAGACCCCCAATACTGACACCACGCCCACAGGAACAAGCCATGTTAACTCAAAAGAATATGAGTCGGTGGCCAGGGAAAACAGGCAAGCTGATAATTGCTATTCAAGTATCATCGCTGGTGTTCTGAGCTCGAGCGATCCTGTCCTCAGAAGCTTGATTTTCGAAAATGTGGATAAAAGTGAGGTTATTGAGGCAATCTATACTAAACCAATCCATCTTGTTCGCAAGTCTGGCCCACAGGTTGCTAATGGTATAGTTCAACGGTATGTTGAAAATATCAAAGCAGGCGAGCTTGAAGCTCCTAACAATAATACTATTGCCGGGAATGACTTTGACAGAGAGACTGGTGAGTCTTGCTCTCCTGGAAATGGTATTTCAGGAAAGGATACCGACTTGCCTGAAAACTTTAGTTCCCTCGAAATTTCGAAGAACATTGAGAAGGTTCAGGCCACCAATGAGCTCAACAAACCGCAATCAGCTTTCGTGGGTGCTTCTCAATTGGAGAACGTTTCTGATCTTGGGTTTAAAGCCATTGAGTTTAACAACAAGCATAAAGAAAGCTTTTCCAATGCTGAAGAAAAAAGAAGCCTCGGGGATGTTTCTTCCAAGAATTTGGCAAAAGAGTCCAACGGCTATGTTGATGTTCCTAGAAGTGAGACTTTTGATCTCAAAACGGACGAATAATCTTTCAAGAATGTCCTGACTCTTGTTTTGGACCATGCTGTTTCTGAAACATTGAATACAACGATGCCTGTTCTGAAAATCTCAGAATTGAGCTGCGCGTCGTCGCCACAAGTTCAGGATTCAGGAATAGTAAATTCTTATGCTTGTGAAGGTCAAAAGGCTACAACGCAATCACCCAAAAGTGGTTCTGAGCCAAATTTCGGAACATTGAGATCTTTGGCCTTGCCCAAAAAAAGTCAATGGAATGATTTTCCTTCTGATTCAGAAACAATATTGATTACTTCACAGTCAGGTACTTTGAGACCAACTTTAAAAGAAAGGGCCTCAAAAAAATTGAATGCCATTATTAACATTGTTCTCTCGGACCCAGGTCTGCTTAGTGATGTTTCTTCTTCTTCGAAACGAGCTGAGGGCAGTGGAGTGGAATCCGAAAAAAGATTCCCTTTGAGTCCTCTGATTAATTTTCAGAGTATGTCTTTATGGCAGACTCTTTTTCCAGGTGATGAAATGAGACCTGGAGGAGTGGATCTTTTTGAAGGTGACGACCTTGCAATTATTTGCGAGGCCACGCGTGATATGCCTGCCATAAGCGACATCCATTTCTTGGTTTCTCAAGATGAAATCAATTCAGCCCTGGCCAAGAAGAATGAATTTGATGCTGGGCAGCTTGAAAAGAATTTCAGCGAAGAAAAAAACAAGAGTTTGGAGAGTGACTTGTGGAAGAAGTTGGATATTTGTAAGGCATCTATGAGCAGCTTCAAAGGCCAGTACGACTTGAAAAAAATCAAAAAGTTGATTTTTCAATTTTCTGAATGCTTCAGGTTTACCAGGGAACATTTTTCTGACGTTCCTAGAACACAGTTCAATGAATATGCTGGCTGGTTGACTGAGATCAAAACATATATTGACTCAGCTTTTCATCTCGTTTGCACAGCTGGCATTATGACTGGAAATGTCATCCGTACCATCAAAGAGTGCGATGCCTCGGAAGAGATTTTAGATAAAACAGAGAAGGATTTGAGTCAAGCTTTGGCTCTCGTTCCTGAAGCTTTCATGCTCTTGGACGAAATTCAAGATGCGATTCTTCTGATGAAACAGGCTTTCCCTGATTTTGTTTCAACCATGGTGAGTAAAATTCAAATTGCGATGATTAGCAGCTTGGAAATCTCAGACACGTACAATGATCTCTGCACGATTCATTTGAAAAAGACTGTTGACAAAGTAGCGTTTCATGAGCAAAGCGGATACAGCAGTTTTGTTGAAAACATTGAGTGGTTGGATGCGAGAAAGAATGTTGACTACGAATCCATTCTTGTGGCCCCTTTAAACGATTTGCTCAAGGCTCACAACATTGTGGACGGTTGCCGTGGAGGGGTCGAGAAATTGATTAAAGACATTATACCTAGAATTGCTGATATGAAAGCTAACCGTGTTTAAAGAAAAGAGAAAAAAAAAAGAAAAAAAAAGAACATTTATTTTACTTTTTACTTACCCTGTGTTGTTTCAAAAAGGCCACTTATATGAGAAATAACTTTATATATTCGAAAAGAAACAGAAAAAAAAAACAGAGCTTGTGTAGATTACCATCAATCCACTGAATGTAGGCCTATTGTGATTTGCCGTTCTTGGGAGATCATGGAGCCTGCAGTGATGTCACAGGAGAAATTTTGTGCTGGCAGCTAAAGAGGTGCTGTAAAGAAGTAAAAAGACTAGAAAAGCAACTTAGAGCGATATGAGACGTTTTTTCTGCGAAACAAGTATCGAGAAAACATTGTCTGAAAAGCTTTTGCTAAATCCAAAAGTACCAACATATTATCAGAACGTCTGAACTAAGGAAGGTATCGATGCAGATGTATTTCCGAATTTGAATAGTGGCAACATGAATCGAAAATAGCTTCTAGCTTAGTCAAATCTCTGATTATTAAATACACTACAAATATTTCACAGTGCCATTTTATGAGAATATCCTTTACTATCCTGTATCTATAGGGTCTTTATATAAAATGAAACCATGTCACGCGTCTTTCATCATATACGCCAGGCTAAACGGTGACGTGCTCGTTGGTTGTTTTGGCCGCCTCAGCAAAGCCTGTGGTGTGTGCCATTTCATCGGCACTAGGTGGTTTCCATCCTGCCGTCTTCCATGGCGGAAGATCAGTGGCATACAACTCATCGACCTCCTCTAAGGAAAGACCCTTTGTTTCTCTAACAAAGAAAAACACGTAGAAAAAAGAAAAAATCAAACAGCCAGTAAACACAAAGCCGTAGTAGAATTGTATGGCACTGGTGATGAACGGTGTGAAGAAAGAAATCAAAAATCCCCACATCCAGTTTGCGGCCGTTGCCACAGCCATACCCTTTGATCTAATTCTCAATGGATAAGTCTCAGAGACGATGGAGTACACACCACCAGCCCATGTAGACGCAAAGAAAAAGATAAAAAGACAGGTGATGAAAATCATGGCATTTCCGGTGGGCTTTCTTGTGTTGGAAGGCGTGTTCTCATAGCCATCGATATACAAATCGACAGAGCCAAGAATAGAGTAGATCAAAAAACAGACACTCATGCACGCGGATCCCACCAACAAACACATTCTTCTGCCCATTCTTTCGATGGCAAAAATCCCCGCAAACGTCGAGGCGAAGTTCACAATACCCAAAACAATCGATGTCTGGAAGGAGTCCAGCATTCCCACGGCCTTGAAAATCGTGGTTCCGTAGTAGAAAAAGTAATTGTTACCGGTCAACTGCTGGATGGACTGAAGCATCATGCCAAGAATGACTCTCTGGAGCATCTTAGGCTTTCCGGTGATAAGCTCTTTCCATCCGGCAGTACCAGCCAATGCCTCTCTGTCAATACCGGCCTGGATGAGCTCAACCTCGGTGTAGACACCCGGGTCTTCTGGCGAGACCTTGTTGGATTTAGCCACGGAAGCCTTTGCTTCGTCAAATCTCTGGCGTTCAATCAAGAACCTGGGCGATTCGGGCATGAACACCATTCCGCCAATCAACAAGAGAGCCCACGCAAAACACAAGCCCAAAGGGATTCTCCACTGTCTAGAGTCGGAATAGTCCTTCGTTCCATAAGTTGTGCAGTATCCTAAGAAGATGCCCAATGTGATCATCAATTGGAAACAGCATACAAGCGTGCCACGCAAATGTTTCGGGGCAGACTCACTGATGAATAGTGGTGAAAGCACCGAAGTAGTGCCTACACCCAACCCGGTGATTAATCTACCAATAAAATATTGGTACCATTTGTCCTGTGAAGAAATCTGGATAATAATGCCAACCATGTAGATTACCATGGCCACCATTATACCAACTCTTCTGCCCCAGATATCACCAACTTTAGAAAGCGCAAGACCTCCCACGGCGCATCCGATGTTGAAAATCGACACAATCAATCCGGTACGCACATTTGACAAGTAGTAGCTCCCATCTGCACTTTGCTGGCCAAACCTCTCCAAAAAGTCGTCCATGTTAACAAAGCCGGATATGGTTCCGGTATCAAATCCGAAAACATAGCCACCAAAAGCAACTAAGCAACAGAGAAACGAAATAAAAAGGTACGCAGAAGCAGGCTTTTTTTCAAGATCACCTTCATCATTTTTTGTGGATGCCTTGTCGTTTTGGATGGAAACGGGCTCGTCGATCGTGGCGGACGCCTGATCAAATTGATTATCTTGTTCGGCGCTCATGAGAACAAAATAAGCTAAACTGACTTTGAACAAAGAGAAAATATGTCTCTGAAATTGCTGTAAGATATCCTCTGGCTTTATACAGCTAAAATTAGGCCTGTAAAAGCTCGTCGAAATAATGCACATACCGCAGCAAAGCTTGCAACCGGGCCGGAAAAACCCATCGGTCATCGTGCATATGCACAGCGGTGTAATCTTAAAGGAGCCGGAGTTTGTATGATTATACTTGATGTGTTTGCTTTCAAAGACCAGTACCTAGACAATAGATTCAATCAACAACGGGAGAACATTTCTTTTTTTTCTTTTGTGATTTTGTGGCTCTATCTACTTTGATACAGCCATGCGCAGTTTCCAGGCTTGGATCTCGGAATCTAGCTTACGAAGGAATTTTTCCGGGTTTCTTTTCCTCAAAATGTGTGTCGCACGACATACGTTCCCCTTTTGTTTGATCTGTTCAGTGACGAATGGTGTAATAGAGGCAAAATAGATGATATTACAGAACACCTCAGCTCAAGGCTCTGGGTAGATTCAGAACTAGCAAAAAGCCCATCTTGTGGTTGAAACTCTTTCAGGGCTCTCACTTACTTGCTTTTTCAAGGCCGGAAAAACTAGGGTCTGCATGTCGAAAGCGCTAATACGACAGATAGTGGTTTTTTCTCCGAGTTGCATGTATGTCGCATGACGTTATCCCAAGTCATCATTGGCGGCTTGACGCGATTCTATTTGCTAACATGTAACGTTTTATATGTAAACCCCTCATATGCACCGTAAGGAGAAGTGGGGGAGCATGCGCAAGTCACGGATTTCCGGAGTTATGCTTTTCAAGTGTATATTCCTTCCCTTGTTTCACAGTCTATGTGGTCCCTATTTAAGCAAGTCACCCTTGTTGACGACAAAAGCTTCAATGACCGCCATGGCGGCGTATAATCTGTTCTCGGCTTCCTCAAAAACTATGGAGTTGTCACAGTAGAAGACGTCGTCCGCGACTTCCTCGGCGTGTCTTGGCAAGCAATGCATGAATTTCCAGTTCTCGTTCACCTGTCCGTCATGGAGCATCTGTTGGGTGATCTGGTATCCGGCAAATTGCTTCAACTTCTCAGCCTTCTCAGATTCCTGGCCCATGGAAATCCACGTATCCGTAACAATGACATTGGCGTCTTTCAAAGCTTTGAGAGGTTCATTCACGACCTCGAAACTCACCGCACCACTGCTTTCGGAAACGATTTTCTCGGCCTCACCCACGATGGAAGGCTCGAACGTGACTGAGGCAGGCACCAGAACGGAAACGGAAATCCCGACCTTCAACGCGGCGATTGCCAAGTCGTTGATCACGTTGTTGGCGTCTCCGATCCACGCCAATTTGAGGCCTTGGGTCTTGCCAAAAGCCTCCTTGATACTGAGCACATCGGCAATGGCCTGGAGCGGGTGGTACATGTCACATAAAGAGTTGATGATGGGCACCGATGAGTGCTTGCACAATTCCTGGATCTCCAGGTGTTTGTTGACACGTGCAAAAACACACGATGTCATCAGAGAGATAACCTTGGTAGTGTCGTACATGGACTCATTGACGCCAAGCTGAATGTCGTCTTTTCCCAAGAACATGGGCTGGGCACCAAAATGAGCAGCAGCGCCCTCGGACGAGATTCTGGTTCTGGTGGATCTTTTCGAAAACAAAAGCGCCACAAGCTTGCCAAGCAACTTGTCGTGGTTCTTCTTGATTTCGGCCGAGTCGCCCGATCTGACAACGTTTTTGAAGTGTTGAGCCTTGGTAACCAAGGCACTGAATTCCTCAGCTGAGAGCTGCGAAATGCTCACCAAATGGCGCGGGGTTGTATTTATTGGCGTGGTGGATTTCATGGCCATGGAGGAGCTGAAGTATCTTTTGAACATAGTGAGGTTGGAATAAATCTTCTGAGGCTCTGGGTGGAGAGATTTACGGGGAATTTATAGAAAACGAAGGGGCCGTTTCTGACTCATTCCCGATCAGGCAATCCGCCAACGGTAAGCGCGGTAAGAGATCTTTGGCGCGGACACGACGGCCATCTGATTGGCGTGTCTTGGGCTAGTTGGCACATCACGTGATACGACGCCCTTAGGGCTTTTGCTGTCTTCGGCCATTGACGTCCGAGGACCTGCCGACAAGCCCAGAGAGTGCAGGCGTCACTGCTTTGTGAGCCAGAGGATCCTGTTTATGAAAGGTCGCATAAAGCCGGAGTTTGGGGAATCACTTAGATGTCAAATTGCAAGACAGTTCGTTTGTACGGTTTGCACAACTTACGGAGGCGCGTAGCTTCGCTGAGTGGGTCCAAATTGCTTTCTCGTACTAGAGCTGTCTATGTCTGAACCAGTGTATATATCATGCCAATGTGCCTTTTCTCCTGAGACTTGAATGCAGATCCCAAAGTAGGACAGTTGCCAGTCAGAGCGGGAGGGAGTAATAATTTTCCTACCTGAGGCAATTTTCCAGTTATGAACTTTGTAATGTCTCGGAACAGTCATATGAGGTCCAACAGTATCGTTCCGATGGCTTTCAGAACTCAACATAATGATTCTTGTCTCTGAACCAATACAACTTGCCTTATGCGACTAGCAGATTTATGAGTCAGACACCATAAAATTTGAAAGGTTTGGTTTCAATCGACAAGTGCTTGTATTCCAGTGAGCTTGGTCTTTTCAAGAGATTGAGGAAGACCCGCATACACGTCGAGAACAGTGATTTCTCATTTGGCGGCCAGCAAATGAACACTTGTAACCTGGGCATATCAATATGACCAAAGTCCGAGACGAAAGCCGGGAACCACATCCTGATGTGAATTCCCTGCATCATCTGTGCTTTGCAAGATGTAACTGCCAAGCAGGGTATGATACCGACACACAACAGCGAGAACCCAAACCAGCACCGCTATTTTGGAATGGATCGGGTTATTTCCAGAATTGCGCAGACAAATGATGGCGTTTCTGTCCCTTTTCATAATGGATTGTAATTTTTCCGATAGATGGACTGCGCATGAGGGTCTTTGAAATTGTTGAAGGTACTGTTCCACCACACCGATGGTGGGATTATGGGCGCCGATATTCCCAGGCAATGTGGAGATAAGGGTCGGCTTGCATCGCCCTTTCTTGGCCAAGTATGGACACCTGATTCCTGTTTTTGTACGCTTTCGGGTGTGATCGAGTCCACTGTCCGCTCAAAGCGGGCAATTTGGGATGCACCAGCATGCCGAGATAAATCTTTTAAATGGTCGTTCAACAACTCTCCAGCGACGAAGATGTAAAAGGCTTGGAAAAGACGCCAGCTGGAAATTCTAGAACCCAAGAGCTGCAGACCATAGCCAACGACCAATGTTTTATGCGAGGAGCAGACCCACGGAATCTCCGGGTCACAGGCTTGTGGGTGGCTGGACACGGAAATGAATTTCACCGTAGTTTGGGACACGGAAATGAATTTCCCCGTCGCTGGCGTAAACGGTTTGGGACACGGATCAAGTCTTCTCAAAACACCAAAACAAGCCCCGCCAAGACCGCAGAGCCAGGGCCAGGCCGCGCCGTCAAAAACAGAGTAAAATGAGCCCAGGCGTCTCTGTCGGTTCTTGAAATGCCAGGCGGCTCTGTGGGTTCTTGGAGTGCCAGGCGGCTCTGTATATGAGAGATTCCCCTCTCCGGCAGAACCCAGCTATAGAGCCCCAAGCGCATCTTGTCTTGCATCCTGGAGCTCGGCCAAAGAGGCCGCCAAGGCCAGCAGTCTCTCGCGCCTCAGACGTATGCTCATCTCTAGCAGGGAGACCTTTTCGGCAAGGCCACTCAAGACGGCGGCCGGCCCCGGAATGTCCGGCATGTCCGCACGGCGCAGGACGTCGTCCACGGAAATGTCCAGGTCGTACATGTCGTGCAAATCAGGGGCATGGTCTGCGGGGCTGGGCTGTCCAAACGCGTCGAGGGCAATGTCGTCGTCGCTGGCGGCCGGATCGATGACCTGAGGGACATCGTCGTCCAGCACGTTTCCGTAGCGATCTGCATACTCGGGTCCCAGGGGCACCAACACGGGCGTGTCTCTGAAATGCGAGTGGCGGAGCACAAATGTGTTTTGGGCCGAGGGCGGGCTGTTTATGAAGGACAGGGGCGCCGCCGGTGTCGCCAGATCTGCAGGCGCCAGATTCGTAGTGTCGATGTTCATCGAGTTGATGTTCATGGTACTCACTCCAATAGTGTCCATGTTCATAGTACCCTCTTTAATAGTGTCCATGTTCATAGTTTCCGTGTTGAAAGCACCCGTGTTCATAGACTTCATTCTCATGGAATCCGTGTTCATAGTATCCATGTTCATAGTATCCATGTTCATAGTGTCCATGTTCATAGTACCCACTTTAGTAGTATCCATGTTCATAGAGTTAATGTTCATAGTATTCCCTCCAATAGTATCCATGTTCATAGTACCCACTTTAGTAGTATCCATGTTCATAGTGTCCATGTTCATAGCATCCCTTCTCATGGCATCCGTGCCCCGAGACTCCATCCTCCCGGAATCCACCCTCCCACTACCCAGATCCTCGTCGTCTGCCGCGGCACCATTCTTGTCCTCATCCAAAGATCTCCCCGTCACTGCTTTGCTTTCCAGTTTCCCCAAGGCCGAGTAGCGCGCCCAGCGTGACAAGCGGCGTGGGTCTGCCACTCCCTCTCTAGAAGCCCCACCTACAGAAATCTCCGCTGGCTGCGTGTCCGCCGCGTCTTGGTCCATATCCCGAAGCCGTCGCTTATTGGCGGCCGGCTTGCGCTTGGCCTTGAACCGCGGCCGGAAAGTCGCGGCAGGCGTGTCGTCGGATTCGCTGAGCATGGCACACAAGTCGCACCAAAAAAAAAAGCGGGTTTGCGAGTTTGCGGGTTTGCGGGTTCGCGGGTTCAGGCACACGGCTGTTTTTGAGGTGTTTTCGGGCCCATGGCTTGGGAGTGCACCAGCATCGCACCGGTAAAAAAAAAGCCTGCTTGGTAGAGTAGGGACGCCCAGGTAAACAGGCAGCAGGCACGGCAAAGACGGGCCAGATTCTTGATTTCTATATTCTAGGAGCCAGCAAGAAAACAAACGCCAGGTTCAGCAGCGGGCCAAGAAGACAGGACAGCAAGTCGTCTCTGGATACTGGACACGGACTGAGTTTGCGTCAGTTTCACTTTGGACCATACCAAGCAGTGGGAAAAAGCAGGGTTTCAAGCGGAAAGAGGACCATAGGAAAGTTTCTGGATCAAGGAAAGTACCTGGACCTTACCTGGATCATACAAAGTACCTGGATCATACAAAGTACCTGGATCATACAAAGTACCTGGATCATACAAAGTACCTGGATCATACAAAGTACCTGGATCATACAAAGTACCTGGATCATACAAAGTACCTGGATCATACAAAGTACCTGGATCATACAAAGTACCTGGATCATACAA